TCTACACAGGTCCCAGTCCTGGAAGATCAAAAGGAATTGATCCCTGATACTGCATTGTTGACATTGGACACGCAAAAAGCTCCTCTGAATACAGTTCATTGAACAAGAGCTTCACTTATAGACAAAAACATCGAACTCCCAGCTCCAAGAAATAAAACAGTGAGCAAACAACCTCCTTTGAAAAAAATGACGACTCTTCCATACACATAAAGTCTTTGTACAGTGGCTATTGTGTTTAGCAATCACATCGCATATGTTCAGTCCATTTCACCTTCACCTTGTATGCTTCAAGAAGTGGATCCCAAACAAAACTCAGAATCGTGAGGATGTCATTGTTTGATTATTGTGCCATAGAACATGCATTGTTATTGAAGAGTTAACATTCGATAGTTCAATCATATTAAAACAATTTGCAAACTTTAGGAAGCAAACACGTTGGAGGTGACGTGATAGGCGGCCCCAAACTTCTATGTCCTGATACACCATGTAATACACGTCTGTCTCTGTCTCTGTCTCTCTCCCTCTCTTTTTCCTCCCTCCCTCCCTCCCTCCCTCTCACTGTGTATATGTAGCTGGGTAAACCGGTCCGTCTCCTGGTGAATTTCACTCACTTGACCATCGATCTTGACCCAATTTCTGCCACTTAGATGTGCCACATGCGAGGCGTCTGAGCTGTGAAGGACCCCCTTTTGCATGTTTTTGCTGTCTTTCGGCCGGCGCCTCCTTCACCACCTCCTCGTACTGCACCGATGGCACCTGGCGTAGGGTCTCGATCACCTGCGTTTGTGGCACCTCGGCGAGAGCACGGCAGGCCGCTGGAGGGTCACTCCAACTGACCCTCCGTTTGGGGTGCCTATGTATAGCCCCTGAACGCTGTGATATAAGGGGTGTCCATTCACCACCCCAACTGGGGGTGCTGGTACATTCAATTCAAGCTTAAAAAGTGATGTTTCTTGAAGAAGAACGTTTCTTGAGTCCAGTGAAGTACAGTTATGTACATGATGCCTTGACACCCTCTCCATCTATTCCCAACTCACGATTGAACCTCATGTGTCACCTTGGTCGCGAAAGAAAACACCACGCTGCCTCGATGACCTTCTCATGAGTGATGCGGGCAATCACCTCTTGCACCTGCGGTCACGGCGGCTCGGTGTCGCGCGACACCGCGCGTGGCTCGACCCGGCGCCGCGACCGAGCGCGCCTGCTCGGAACATTGATATTCCGGCACCTGGACCGCGGCCGTGGTGACCGAGGTTCGGTAGACCGTCCGAGTCGGGCGCGCGTGTTTGGCCGGTCGCCCAGTCAAGACAAGAAAGCATCACGCATCGGACGCGACTGGTGGGATCAATCCGAGACCGGTCCCGAATTCCGGAGAATTGGGGTGACTCACCACCTGCGGGGTTAGGAACCGACCCGGACGTTCGACCGTCCAAACGTCCGTCCGTCCCGCGTGTTGGATGCGGAGATCGGCGGCAGATCCGGCCGTCCGGGTTGTCACGGGATGTCACGGGTAGATCTTCGTAATGAGCACAGTCAGTGGTGGGAAAAGCGAACTGACGAGGAAGAGAGCAGCTGATTCTGTAATTTGTCTTAAGTCGCCTTGGTTCTTGGAGTCGTCAACGAGAGAGCAAGAGGGACCCTCAGTAGGTTGTGGTTTTCCATAATTAGTGTTCATTTAGTTTTCATGTTTGTCAACTATGTAGTATAGAAATAAAAGTTCTTGCCCAAGCAATAGTGCCTCCACATGCTTCTCGATGGTCTTGTACTCCGGTTTTTGCTTCACCTCTGCCAAAGACGTGGACAAAACCGTTGACAAGCTCTAGTACACCAATTTATTTCGACCAAACAGCATGGCAACTTCCCATTGCCCGAAGGCGAAACTCCTCTAGCAAACCAATTGTCTTAGCATTTCTTAGCATTTTGTCCTGAATTTTCCTGAGCTCCCAGCAATCGTGTGATGTTCCACGATTTCCCTCGGAAGCTCCTGAAATCTTTCGCCCCAAATCACGGTGTCACGGGTCTTAGGCCCCATCTTCGACCGGGAGCTGACTGGGACTGGGCGTTCTTCAGCGGACTTCTCATGTGCGGCTCACTGCAGCTCCGGGCAGAAAGTACACGCAAAAAAACATGTTGCCCCAGGAGCCGAGGATTCACCTCACAAACCCAAACGCGACCCTGTCTGGACCTGTCTGGAACTGCCAGATTTTTGGGAATGGTTTCAGGGTGCTTGGTGTTTGTATGCCATAGCCATTGGGATGCTTGGGATATATTGGGATGGGGTATGATGTGGGGTATGTGCAGATCTTCCAGTCCGAAGTCTCGTGCCTCGGGGTCCACTCAACCGACCACCGCCCGATCGTCCAGGTCCTTCATGACATCCTGCACCGCGACCTCAGAACGAGGGGACCAAACAAGAAAGAAATGGATGGAAGGCCCCAGTCCCAGCCACTTCCTATGCAAAAGATCTCAAGCAAGCCATTTTGGAATAACCAGTTAAGGTATATTTGTGGTTGGGACTGGGGTTTCCAGTGGGTCTTCCTAAGCAGGTGAAGCGTCTTTTCTTCGTTCCGAGTCTACTATAGCTGGAGGTCCCAAAAGCATGGCGAGCATATTTGTGTGCAGCGAAGTCGACAGGTCTCCAAAAGCGTTTTGAAGAAGTCTGTCGCTGGGCTCCAAGAAGTCTATCGCTGGTTGCAAAAGAGCAGAAAAAGGGTGGCCCTTCAGCTCAGGGAGCAAGACAGTTTGAAGGCGGAGCCCATCCAAAACGAAGACCCAAGATCAATTGGGAAGCCCCTTCCAAATGGTCTGGGGTGGTTCTGAAACCAACCAAAACATTCCTATATTGTTCCAGAAGGTTGAAGGTTGTAAACATTCCTATATTTAAAACAACCAACCAGCTGCACTGGACATCAGAAACTATACATTATCTATATACCATGGAGAGTTTCAAGTTCGCATCCACCTGAGCTCAGAACCAGGGTCCCATAAGGAGCCGCAGCAGGTGCCTCTGTGGTTTGGCTTTGCGGCTTGGCCACGCTCAAACATCTGAAGCTTGGTCATGCGTTCCCAGAAGCAATGGCCACCACCTTCCCACCAAAGAGCCAGCAACAAACGACAAAAAAAACAGGTCGGCAGGGCGGGGTTTAGCCCGTACCTGTGGCGCTCGTGTGGACGGGATCACCTCATCCAAAGACTCTGGCAAGTTGGCATTATCCCTCCCTAAGAATCCGGGCCCCTTCTCCAATGGGAAGGGTTTGGAGGTCGCATCTGACCTTGGTGGAGGGGTCAAGGATTCGTAGGGCTAGAAGTATCCTCTAGACTTGGGTCTGACCTAAATAACTGCCACTATAGCTGGCCTCAAGGTGTCCAGGACCCTCCGTTTCTCGGATGTCCGACCTTTCTTCGCTCCAGGGAAGACCTTTCTTTGGAAGTATGTACTCACCTCCGGGAAGACCATTCCATCTCAGGTCCCAGGACCCTATGACTGTTTCAATCCTTCTTTGTCTTGGCTAGCCCACTGAAAAAGCTTCGAACATAGGGCACGCCACAGGCTCGGCGAGGGGCTCCATGTGGCTCCAAGTCAGCGTGTGTTTCTGTCACCGCCACGTCACGTGGCTCCAGCCGATCATCTCAGCTATGTATATAGATCTATTATAATAAGATCTCCTTCAAAAAGGGTCGTGTTCGATTTGTTGGGTTTCTAGGAAAGCCCTCGTTCGGTGCGTATTCATCGGGCGTATTCGAGCGTCGTGGATGGACGCCCCTGGTGGAACCACTTACCGGGGATCGGCGATTTTGGAGTGTGTTTTGTGACGTCAAAAGAAGACCATCGAACATGTCCAGCAGTTCCTGGCGATGTCTGTGAGGAAGATTTGGATCTCACATCCGAACTGTTTTAAATCCGAGAAGCAGCTAGGAAGTTGATGGAACTTGTGTATTGAACCGCGAGTTTGGAGCGCCAACTCGCGTGCTAAAATAGCTGTTGCGGTGCCATGCCTGGATCTCAACGCGACGTCCGACGTCCTTGCGTCTTTCCGATATGTTGGGCCCACGGCTGGCGCAGGCGCACAGCGTTTTAGCGCGGCGTTTTGGCATGTTCTGGATCTGATCAACGACCCAGCTGTGAAGCTTTGACCTCCAGCTGGAACCATTCCCTACATGGAACGAATTCATGGAACATCACCAAACAACGATCGATCATCGTCCACATCGTCACATCGGCTTTCCGAAGAACGCGGCCCATTTTGGCATGGAGCAACTAGCAAATTCAGAGGCATTGGGCATATATTTTGCTCAACACCACTCGCTTTCACCTTAGAACCTGCCGCCCGGCTTGAACCTGCCCGCCCTCTGAGTGTTCGCAGCTTCGCTCACACCCTGTCCAGGCGGTGAATCTGGCAGACGCAACGGGTGAAAACGTCCGATCTGTGCTGCTTCAGTGGAACACTGGCCCTGTTTGCTTCTGGGCTTCCGGTCAACCGTTGCTTTCATGTTCTCCAACAAAGCACAGAAATCCGTGAAAATGCTCCACTTGTGCAGCTCTAGTTTTCTTGCTGCGTCGACGACGCTATCAGTCTGCCTGAAAGGCAAAAAGACCCAAACCTCCAGGAGTCACCATGAAATGAAACCGACAAGCAGGAACCAGACTTGGGCTCTGATTCACGGGGTAGCTTGGGAGTGCAAACTTCACGAAGGGAAGGCCAGGCCAGGCCATTTAGACATGTATAATCTATACTATACAGGAAGACCACTTTCTACGAACAAGCTCATACTTCCAAAGACCATGTTGCCCACAAAGGTCTCATGTGGCTCATGGGACTTTCAAAGACGTTGCACGCTATGATGCACTTATGTTACTCGTAGTAAGAATGCTCCGTTCGTAGTAAGGCCAGGAGCTATTACTAGTAGCGTTCTTGCTCCTAGTACCTCCTTAGTAGAAATTTGAATGGTAAGCTCACCGGTGGATCTTGACGTGGCCGAATTGGCTTCGTTTCGCCTGCTCACATGCGTCGAGGCACCTGAGGCATCCAAAAGGAATGGTCAGTGGAAATGATGTATAAATCAAAAAATAAAGGCACAGGGTGGTGTGATACCGCTGTCGGTAGTGGCACCGTGCACACCTTGATACACCCTATTCTAGTTTCCAACCCTAAAAATAACCTGGTCGGTCAACCGGGCGCAGTGCCATGACTCACCACCATACCGGCTTGGGGAAGCAAGCTTTGCCGGAAGCTTTACCTGTGCGTTCCGGAAGAGTCTTGGAGAGGGTTTGCAGCAGTGCGACCTCGCTCGCGCAGCTGCACTCGGTTTGCTGGTTCCTTCATGGACGGAGGTCGACCGGTCGGCTCGTGTGTCTTCGTCTTCGGCGTCTTGGGAGCTACCGAAGCTCCGTCCGTCCGTCCGCAGTGGATCCCTGACTTTCGCGTGAACACGAATTCATGTTCGTACCCTTCCTCACTGGACCAATTCAGGAAGCAGCCTGCTTTGCCTAGGGGTGACGAAGAAGAATCAATTGGAAAAATAGGGTCCGACAAAGACTTAGGAAAACCATGGAAAAGCTGGACAACTGGACTACTTGAGGCCACTCTTGAGACCTTTCTGAACCCGGCCACTAACCCGGCCTGATTTGCACTCGTTGGTGCAGCCTTTGCTTGAGGCACGTAGGTTCCTGGAGTACCATAGTGCGTGGCACGCGCGTCACACGCCGCGTGTCTTCGCTTCGCTTCGCTTCATCTGGAATTATCTGACATCTCTCCCTCCAAAGGCTCAGGTGTAGGGTGATGCGTCCAAAGTTCAAACTGAAGGTGGTACCAGCAGTTTAATCATTTTGGGCGACATGACAGCGGCACCTCCTCCGTGGATAGCACCGGCACCGAACTCCAAGGAACTGCTTGGTTAGGGACACCGCATACGTTTCTGACATCCAGTCTACAGTACTTCCTTTTGACGGTCGCCCATGTGTGGGGCCACTGCGTTTCAACTGCAATGCCCTTTGAACATGCATGTTTTTTGGGCGAAGAACCGGTTCACTGAGTTCATTCACTGATGATTGTTGTCGTCAGCTACCACTCGACACCCCCAAAAAACACGTGATTTGGAAGAAGTCGTTCAGCGCTTTCGAAGCTGTCCTGGCACAAAGAAAACGTAGCAGGCAAAACAAACAGAAGCCACGGCCACAAGCAATGACAGAACCTCATGGTGCAAGCGTGCACAGAAACAGGGTGCACTTCAAAGCCACTGGCAACATCTGGCAGTTCCAACAAGCTGCAGGTCCTTATATACAATATGATCTCATATAATGACACATATATATAATTATATATATACACCAGCACCCTCCTGGCCAGGCTGTTTGAAGACCCTAACAGGTGGTGAACCTGGGCTGTTGTCACCAGGAAACACCTGGCCAGGAGGGTCCAGGTATGTATATCTGTCGACATCCGTCTCTCTTTGTGTCCCCTGTGTTCCATCGTTTTCGTCCAGGTGATCTGACCCAAATGCTTCGCCGCAGCAGTGGTTGGGTGTCAGCAGAGCACTGAGCCAAGCCAGGCCTGGACAGTGCAAGGATCCAAAGGGCGGCATCCCAACCCTAGGGATCCAGTCGTACCGAACCTCAGAAGGTACGACTGGACCCTCCTGGCACCTACATAACAGTGTCTGGGCAAAAGTGTGTTCTTCTGTTCCCCTCAACATCCATCAACCATAAGCAGGAAAGTCCTTGGTAGCTCTTTTCCAGAATCATCCTTTTGCTTCCCCCTTGATAGGTGTGTTGGTTGAAAAATTCAACGTTCAGATCAAACTATCAATAAAGCAGTCCTACAGATCGGAAAAGCCGATGTCAACAGCCTTTTATGCAGGCAAATGTTTCATGAAAGGAATCCCCGGTCGCCAATGAAAGGTAGAAAACCCATGGCCTATATGGGTGTGTATTTTAACATGCAGACCCCCAACCCTTCTTCCACGAGGTCGAACTTGGAGGCCTCCCTATTTCAATACACACCCTATTAGTACCCCCTCTCCCCTCCATTCCAACATCATTTCACATCCACATCCGTCATCTCCATGCTACTCTCATCCAACGCACAATGTTAGGCTGGAATGCTAAACAGGATCTTCCCAGTCGGATGAATTTGTCGATCACTGCTTTCTTCAAAGTGACCATCATTGAGATCGATGAGGGAAATCAAACAGGCGAAGTCACCAACAAGCCTGTAAACACGTAAACATCACATGACTGGACACAGCTCGGTCATGGAGTGTCATGAAGTGAAGCTACGAAAAGGTACTCTTGCTCTGACGTATCCCGTGCTCACGTCCTCGTCTTCGCTCATGTGCTCACGTAGATACGTCTTCGCTGTCGTTAGCATCTTTTAGCTTTAAGGTCCACACCGTGCCGGGCCGAAACAAGGCCTTGATGGGTTCATGTCAGTTCATGTTCTCTTTTCTGAGCTTCGCACAAGGGGGAGAGGTTACTCCGTGCAAAGCCGATTCGGCCATGCCTCAGCGACGAGACAAAAAGAGACGTCCGGAGTGGAGAGAGTTGGTTTGGATTGAAGAGACGCTGCGGGGGCCGGGGACAGGTCTTTCAACAAATCTAGAGTATCAGTATCTGTTGTCAAGGGATCCACTGCCACCTTCTCAGAGGGTGTTTTTGACTAAATTTACAGTACATAAAAGAGTGTCCAATCACTTTCTCAGAGGGTCTTTGGATCCAATAGTCAGGCTGTAGGCAGGAAGTTGCCCGCCCAGATGTCCAGGAGGAATAATTCATGGAGACAGGTCTTTCCACACATCTAATGCTGCCAGGTCTCTTCATATCAAAAGTGGTGTAGAAGGCGCGCATGAACCTACGTCGGGCCGAGATCCACTTCACCAAACTGTCTGCTCCAAGGGGATTGGTCACAAAAAAGAAACGACCCTTAAAGGCCCTTAAGTGCCCCTAGTCATTCCCACGTACATGTTTGTTTCCGGGCAGGTCTGGTTGGAATGAACCCAGAATAATGCTTGTGGGTTTTCTTTTTTCTGGTGCGTGTGATTTGACACAACAGAATCTGACATTTGGATGCTACGACCTACAGTATATCTCGATACATAACCTGATTTTCACATGGAAGGGGCTTAACAAAAACTCAGTATCACTCAGTATCACTCATGAAGGGGCCACTCAGTATCACTCAGTTGTCTCCGTGACTCTTGGCTTGTAGCAGGAAAAAACTCTGTCTCGTTGCGACGCTCGACGGACCCAACATCAGGCGCACGTCATGCCGAAGATCAGCGGCACGGGTTGGCTGTCGCTCCCACGTTGAATACTGGGCACGCAGGAGGTCCTTGCCGTGGGCTAAAAGAGGGGAGGGAGGGAGGGAGGGAGGGAGGGCTTATAAATCGGGTAAACTCAATGTCCGAAGTGGAACCAGCATTCATTTCATAGCCTGAATTTTCAACAATGTTTTGCTAAGGATTTTGCACTACAAAACCAGGTCAACCATTTATTCAAAGGCTAGGGTTTTGACACCTTTCAACCGTTCTACACAAAACCCAAGTGAGCGTTTCTGATAACTCCTAGGAATTCCCATTATCGTAACACCTGGCTTTCGCAAAAGCATACGCGGAGCTTGCAAGCGGCGGCTTAGCTCACGCGGGAGAGCTGCTTGCGCCACTGCTTCCGCAACCTTACACCACTGGAAGTGTTGCTTGCGCGCCTCGGACATGACCCGAACACAAAAAGGAGGTAATTCATCCTTCCCAAACACTCCTGGTCCCGAATCCTCAGGTCAGGGGGTTCTCAGAGGCAACCAGTTTCCAAGCAATCCCTTTCTCTGTTTTGAGGGACAACCAGTCGGCCTCAAACTTCACAAATGCCAGGAGCAGCTACCCTAAGAATCCGAACGGGCTCTCCATGGCAGGGGCCGGACCCGACACCTTGGGGTCCGAGCCCTCAGAACCCGATCTTTTTGAGGGCCCGGATTCTTAGGGTAATAGCGCCGGTACCCATGTTCCACTTTCACAGGTCGACCGGGCGTTTCGTCTGTAGATGGAGCAATTGCGGTCCTTATGATAAGTTTTAAGATGTTTTAAGGCATCATAATATCTAAAAAAAACATAATCATGAATAATCATACGTACATCATCGTACATCAGTTATTCGTTAATGGTCACTCATAGAACCTGGTTCATCTCTGGTTTCAACATGTCGTCAATCATGGATGTGAAAGGCGACTGTCCTGCCAGTCAGAGGGTCCACTGACTCAAGGATGAACTCGTCTGGAGACATGCAAAGGCTGAACTGCTTGTCCTCAGAAGAGCGGGCAGCTTTCATGTCGAAAACCGCGGTCTGTGTTGGGGGGAACGGCAAACTCTCTTGAAGATTTAAAAAATAGTACCATGCAGCCATGCATGAATCCCAGTGCGCCACTGCTTAACTGCAGGAAGATTTTTCCTTCAGTTCTGCACGCTGCCAAGCTCCAGTTCCCGGTGTCTACAGGTACTTCAGATTTATATAGTCACACACACACACCGGGAATGGGCAGCACTGTTAAGATGCTTCTGCTCGTCAAGTTCGCAGGGGAGAGTCTGCATCTTGTGGGCCCTTGTAAAAAGTCATAAGTCATAAGAGTCTTGTTCTTCTGTCCAAGCAAAGTGACATGACTATCTGTTGTTTAACTTGCGAAACAGCTCAACCGTGTCTGTTCTGCACTCCCGCGATTTTGAAGCGCTTTGGCAAGCTCATACACTGGGGCGCTCGGACATGCTCATCGATGACGTTGATCACTAGCTGCGGTATCCTGCAGTCTGGAGAAACAGGATTTTTGATGACCTCTGATGACCCGAGCTGCCTGCCACAGGTCGGCACGTGCTGCCAGAAAAGAGATGTGAAGGCAAAGAGTTTGGCCCATAGACACCCCACAAGATGGCGACGTGCATGGCACTCCCAGTTTTCGTTGAGGCCTGGAATGATGGACTGCGACGGATTCACTGCCAAACATGGTCACCAATGCAGGTTCAAGTGCCAAACAATGCTCCGCCCCTCCAGTGGTGTGCCCTTCAATTGCCACTCCCAACTCCGCCACTCCTACTCAGGTCATTGGCTGGTGGGCAATCACAGCTGAGGATCTGCCTGGCGAAACATCCGTTTTCATGAAGCCTTCGTCGCAGCACGTCCTGGTGTTCCCAAGTCAGTCCTTCCCAACACAGAGGTCATTGGAAGCCTTTCTCGTCCACGAGTCACGAAGCGATTCCAAAAGAGCAGGGTCCTGAAACTGGATGGCTAGATCCCCTTCTTTCTTCCGCAGCGCGTGCAAAGCAAATGCTGAAGAGCAGACTTTTCACAACGATCGAGTGCTTTTGACACAATTTGGAATGTCTATACCAGCATTCATGAGTCAGGCAATGGCGACGCAAGATTCATTCTGACATACAATGCAGGTTCTTTCACGTAAAATGCATGGAGATGAATGGAGTGAAACGAAAAAAATAATCGCTAAGGTCAGCCAGCAGAACTGTTCAGGTAGCGAATGGCAGTTGGTAAAGCGCCTCAGGTTTCGATCGAACGACCGATCATCGATCGAGCGATCTTGGGGTGCCTCCATGATGTGAATGAGACCCGATGTTTGACCATCCATGGCAGTTCGCAAAATGAATCAAATAAGATTCCATGTTTGGGGAATTATATGGAACTATCAACTCCTCAAAATTGAGGAATGGAAGATCATGGAAGGCACACGCTTGGGGATGTGTGTACTGCTTGGGGATGTGTGAACTGCCTCTCTTGCGCCGTCACCAGAAACCCTCATGGAAGTGGACAACCACCTATACAGTACTTGTAGAGGACCATGGTCATCCAAGCGGCTGCTATTTACACTGCCATGATGATTTCAGGGAGTGTATAGTGTATACTATCCATATACTATAGATTGTTTGACTCTGACTCGCTGGTAGTTGCCAAATCTTGTTCAACTGTCCGAGGTATTAAACAGAATGAACTCCAAGTATCAACCTGCACCACGACTGTCAGGTCTGTGTTTCCATCATGGAAGCTCGGTGTGTCTCCCTCTCCCCGGTTCAGGAGGCCACCATCGAAGCTCTGAGATGAGTCGGTCATAGACCGTCGGCTCGATGACCAAAAGCGAAGACCCTGAGTCGATCAAAGCAGGTGCGCCCAACCTCAGCGGCCGAGCTTGGGGGAAAGGACATGGTGCGCTGCATAGTCAAAGAAATGCATGGTATGACTTGGTGACTTGAACCCAAAGAGGTCAGGAATCAAGGATGCCACGTACAAGTCAACATGAAATATTATGGTTGCTTTGGAAGTCACCATCTTCATACACTCGGTACTTCCATGTCATGACATAGCACATTCATTCAAAGGGCAGCTCAAAGCCATATTCCGAAACAGCATCGATGGCTTCATCAACCAACCAGCAATACAGCGCTTGTGAAATCGTGCCGAGGTCATACAATTAAAATCCTTAATTTGTATTCAAGAAACAACACACATAAACTAGCATAAAACCGTCATCATAATGCATTGCAAACACCATCATAATTAAATATCATACATACAAGCATGTGTGACACCTTCAAGAAACTACAGCAAGCTATCGATCTTTCACATGTGTGTTCTGCATGTTTTCTTCTTCAGTATTGGTTTTTAAATAGATATCCCATGTTCACCCATGTTCACCATGGGCTTCATATCTTTAGATACCCATGCCGCTGGCTCGGACCGGCTGCCCTACCTCCTCCCTCCGGACCGTTCCAGGAGGCCCGGACGTGCCACGATCTGGGAAGGTCACCTCGACGCCTGGGTCCACGGTGGCCGTGGGTGACGGAGGGTCACCCAGGCTACTGAGGAGCGCTGCGAAAGGAGGTTTGGCGAATTGAAGGATGAAAATGGGATCTGGCCACTGGGTCACCTGACTGCATGACATATGCCAGAACACCTATTGGATGATCCTGGTGGTTTCATAGAAGAGCTTTCAGTGATCAATTTTGATACTACATCATATAGTTCTTTCTTCAGTGATTTCATGTGATTTCTTCTGGGTGGCTTACGAGTCAGGTGATCGCTTTCACCCGAATGGCTTCATGGATGGCGCTTCGCCCGGAACCAGTCGGGTCCGTTCTCCGTTCGCGTCGTCCGTCCTGTTGGCCAATGGGTCCAGGCCGAGCCATCGACGGCTGGGAGGTCACACGGTTTACTTGAGTAATTCAGGTCTCAGTTGAGTCTGATGAAGGGCTTGCAGGAGAAGAAGAATCCCAGCAGTTGGTCGGAGCATGTTGGAACATGGTTCGGAAGACCGATGTGGGCCCATTCGGGACACTGGGGGAATCACCCAAACGGGTGATTGGTCAAACATTCCCATGTCCTTGAGTAGTAGAGTCCTTGCTCCTAGTAGCGATGCCCTTTGTTACTAGTAGCTTCTTGTTACAGTACTAGTAGTAAGGCCAGGAACTACTAGTACTAGTAGCTTCTTGCTCCTAGAAGGAAAGAGCGGATGTTGCAGGATCTTACAGGCGCCTATTAACATAGGAAGACCTCCTCCCAGGTCGACTCCACAAAAGAAGGTCTAGACCCAAACCATCCAAAGCCCGGCCATAAGTCTCCTAGGTTTGACATACACACCCGAGCAGGCGGTTTATTGCTGGTTATCTCAAAGAACACCCACTTCCACTCTGGAACGAACTCCTCAGGTCAATCCCGACGCATCCCGAGGCCTGTGTCACTCCAGCCGATGGACCAAACGCTGGTCAACCAAAGATCCGTGGTGGACATGTACTGGCCCTGCGAGTGGCGGCGAGTTCGAGCGAACCGTCGCGAGCAAGACCTCGTCGCGCGGTGCGGTGTGGAAGCTGTTTGGAGCTGGGTTTGGGGGAAGTCCGGTGAGGCTGGTCTTGACAAGACCCGTTCGAGAACAAAGAAACTGAAGAAGCAACAAAGCCAACAACTCAATTTACAGTATATGACTCACCAAGCTGTTTCTTTCACCTATACACTCGGACTGGAACAGATGTCTGAAATCACTCGGACAGTCCTTTGAGTCCTGAGATAGTTCAGTGATGTTCAGTGTTTCAAATCGATCGAAAGAAGTAACTGACTCACATCTAAGGTCTAGCATCTAAGGTCTAGCATCTTCAGTGTTTCCTTTCACATCTAAGGTCGCTCGTAGTGCTTTCCCTCGCACTGCTTGTCAGCCGGCCTTGCCATAGCGAAAGCTCGTCTCCTCAGGCAGATTCGGGCGAATCACTATGCCGTCGCCAAGGAATTTGAGAAGTTCATACCAGGGCCTTCAAGGGGTGGTTAATGGACACCCCGAATCACAGCTGTTTGGGGCTATAAATAGACACCCCAAACAGAGGGTCCTGGTAGAAGATGTTAGTGCACAAGTCACAACTTATGGAAAAAAAACATTAACCCTAGCCTTCAAAGACCATTAAAACCATGGTTGTTTGAATGCTAAGGTTAAGAATTCATTGAACAATCATTGCACATCTCAATCATCTGGACATGCCTTCGAGTGTGTCCCAAGGTCTGGATCGCCGAAGACCAGCTGAGACCTCAGTCGTGTCGTGAGATCGGGTGAAATGCCCATGGATGGATCCGCAAACCATCCATGTTATCTATAGTTACCTATACACCCTATAGGCTGGATGGCCCACCATTGATTGAATAGGGGCCGCATCCCGAAGAATACCGAGCTGTTTTACGGATTCTACACTACAAAACCAGGTCGTTCCTATTTTGTTTGGTCTTGGAAGTCGAACGGGTACATGGATGAATCATAAACCAGCACCACGGAGTTCCACACGAACTCCGTGGTGCTGGATGAAGCCTTCTTCAGATATCAAACCCCCAAGACTTCTCAAAGCATTGAGTCGTAAGTCGTTTTTGATGCTGTTTTCAATGGGGAACGCATCTCCAAAACCGAAGAACACCGAAGAAACGTGTGATGTAATATCTCAGAGCCCTGTCTATGGATATCTCCTTCACATTCCTTCATGAAGAGGCCACAGGTTGAAGATCGAAAAGCACCCCAGAAGCATCGCATCGTGTGAAACAGCGAGTTCGCACGGGTAACGAATGGTGCCGCACGGGTTAGACGTCTGAAGAGATCGGGGTTCGCTTGGCTCACCGGTGGTGTAGCACCGGTGTAGCTCCATTCAACTTCTTTTTTCTGCTTGAACTTTCGTTCGATCAGAATGAACGGACGAACGGTGATGCATGACATGTCTGGCTGTTTTTGGGGTGCCGAGGTCTCTTGGACCACCGAACCCTCAATCCTTGCGCGCCGCCGACTCCGGCGTCCCGCCCCGGGCCCGGGCTTGGCGTCGCTGGAGCCACGCCCCGTGAGGTAGAAGGAGAACTGCGCCGGTAGGTGGGGGTGCTCCCTGGCGCAGTCCGGACGACCGTTTGGACGACCGAAGAGCCGTTCGGTGCAACTGGCCCCTCTGAACATCTCTGAAGCTACACATCAGAGCGTCCGACTGTTGACGGTCAGATTTGTAACGCTCCAAGAAAACTAGGAACTAGTACGGTGGTACACACTCCAAGCTGTATACATACTACACACTCCAGCTGTAACGCTCCTTCCCATGTTCTGAAGCTCCACCGCCCGGACGAAACCATTCTCGTTGGTCCAGTCGACCGGTCAGGTTGAGGTTGAGGCTATCCATGGCTCCATATGTACCACCGGTCCCAGTTCAGGTCTCAAAGAACAATACCAATTGGTGGTACATATGGGATAGCCATGTTCAGGTCTCATATGTACCACCAATGGTCCTCTCTTGATTTCTTAGCCTTCAACCCGCCAGACACACGGTGCGCGTTGGATCCAGCGAGCGAATGTTTGGCTCGGCTGCCGAGGATCCAGCTCGGGTTCCAATCATGGGGAAGGGCAGCCATGTTGAGATCGTTGGTGGGGTTTTCTGGACGCACCAACGATCTTCAGCGGTCTGCACCACGATCTAAATTGATACGGAAATTAGTTTAATGTCTTCAGCGGTCTTCAGCATTTGTCGGCCCATTAATCATTAAAGCCAACATGAAGCAACATGTTTGAGAAAAGGGAGGCTTCCCAGGCATCTGTTCAAGTGAAACACATCTAAACAATCTAAGTGTATACCTGGAGTCGACCCGTTCGTACCTCGGAAAATGGGTACAAGTACAAGTACATCTTTTTACGAGGGTCAGATCCTATTTTCGAGCATGTCCCATTCTCTAAAGGACTTGAAGTCGTGTCACAGGTATAACATATTATATGCAGCCTGCAGTATATGTTACATATTTTTATTGTGTTTGTTGGACCTTATTGGTGAGCTCACTTCAAGAGCGTGTGATGTGTGTGATAGTTTGTCTTGTGCTAAAAAGCACACTGAACTGATATCATTCATGTGAGCTTCCAGAATTTTAACACAAAGAAAGCTCCGGTTTTTCTTTTTGGCTTGCAGCGGAGAAGCACCAAACTTCGCTCCCCACAGATCATCACTGTTTTTCGTCGCAACTCTGTCGATGAACGGTTCGGGGAAGCAGCCACGACGCTCGTCCGAGGCCTGAAGAGCGTGGAGACAAAGGTTTCGCCTCTGAGACTCCGATCCGAGGCATAGTGATGTGCCAAACCCAAGATGCCATCCGACTTCATGTGAGTATCCTGCCATTCGTGGACAGCACAGCGCGGATAGAAAGGCGGATGTGGAAGAAGGTCGAAGGTGCGGTGTGTGTTTCCGTGAAAAAGCGGCTGTGAGAGTGTGGATCGAAGCCGCAAACAAATCACAATTGTCTGATAAAAGGCTTGCTGGTCTTGTTCTTTCTGGGTCCTATTGAAGCATCACCATAGAAGTATATATACCGAAATCATAATATAATACAAAACATTATAATATATAACAACAATATACGACGTCTTGCTAACTCTTGCTACTTGGAGCGTGTTGCTGAGAGCCCCACAGATTCCATGTCATCCACCTGAATCAGCAGCTGCCGCTGAACCTGGATGTCGGTTCGCCCCCTGATCCCAGGACACATGTGTCGAACATATCATCCTCTCAGAGGGGTGGCAGTGGATCTAGGGCCTAGGGAAAGATGTACCCAAACGCTCCATGGGAACTGCCATCTTTGCCGATAGGCTATAGGCTAGGGGTGGTTGATTTCAGGGGTCGCCGACACTGGGGCGACACTGGTCTGCCAGTCCCAATGGACTGCCAGTCCCAATGAAGTGTTTGGGATCTGAACCAACCACATATGACGCAACGCTGGACTGAGTGCTGCTTTGGAAAGGAATTCAATTGGAGCTCACCCCATGGCTCATAAGAAGCTTATAGCTTTGGCTTACTTGCCTTTACTGCCAAGCAGTAGGAGTTCCGCATAGTTCTGCCCATTTTGAGATTAACATCGACATCTCCGCTTTCCTCCGCTCTCCGAGAAAGCTCCGACCGCTCCGACCTGCAGACCTCTCCAACGGTGACCGTCCGACTCGACTCACTGCACCTCCAGGTCTCCGATCCTCACCGTGTCATAGAAGGAACCTGCGGTCAACGACCGTCCGACACACGGCAGACGAACGAGACTGCAGAGTGAGGCTCCGAAGACAGCGGTCGACAGACAGCGTCTCACCCCGGCGAGGGCTCCGAAGACCAAATGACCCGTTTTGCGGCCTCCGTGTGCCGTGTGCCGTCATGTCCCGTCACATTCATCTGAAACCCGTCACATTCCGAGGTCTTCTTGATCTTCTCGCGCGGAAAAAAAAGAGCCCACGTGAGGCGCTTCAGAAAGGCACCTCCATTGGCCACTGTGCCGTCGCCGTAGCGGAAGGTGATGCGGTTGCCGATCCTCGGGGCGAAGAAGAAGGAAAAAGGAAGAAGGAAGAAGAAGAGGTCAGGCTCTTGGCTAAGGCTGGAGCTCCTCTGCCTTGCAAGACTTCTTGATGTCAAACCTGAGCGGCTGCTTCGGGTGTTCGACAAAGAGAACTGCAGGTTGAGCCTCCCGGATTGCAATATATGCCTCCTCTTGTACAGGTTTGGTATCTCAGCAGCAACACGTGTCTGTGCACTGTAGGTGCCATGTCTGTCAATCTGTTCGTGATCCCCGAATAAGTTATCTGAGAAGAAACAACAAGCAGCATCAAGCAGCAACTCAAACTCTCACTTGATAATGTGAAGTTGTCATTCGATCTGTTGCCTGTCCAAGTTTACATCGCTCACAACTCTTGACACCGAATGGACCAAAAAAACTCATGTCGACGCATGACACGACCCTGACGCCTCTCCCTGCAGACGTGACACTTTTTGGTTCCAGTCTTGCAGCGCGAGCAGTTCACGGCCTTGAAGGCGAGACGCGCGTGCCAGGCCGTCCGTCCGACGAGCAGCTTCGATTCTCCCGTAACAGTGACTGAAGTCGACAAAAATACGACGACATGACGAGAATGCCAGGAGCCCCTAGTAGCTTCTTGTTATTAGTAGTAAGGCCAGGAGCCCCGATCGTAGCGTTCTTGCTCCGAACGTAGCGATGCCAGGAGCCCCGTTCGTAGCTACATGACGGGACTGACAGGTCAGACTGGACATATTCCTCTGGTCTTCCACCGATCTACACCCTGGCCGCAACCGCTGCAGTTGGGCTTCCTGGCAGGAATCCAAAGGTCGGAGCTGCCGGTATCCGGCACTACCTTTCGAGCTGCCGGTCTCGCCGCGGCAGCGCGGGGTCGGTGTTGGCAAGCTGGTTCCCCAAATCCACTGACTGGTGCAACGAGTTCGTAGGGATGTTTCGGGTGGCTGGATCCTACACCCATCATTATGCAGAGTCCTGATCGGATCCAGCCACTGTGAACCAGTCAGTCCCTGCGAACTCGTCGCACCAGTCAGTAAGACCAGTCAGTCAGCGTGCAACATTGGACATGCATTGAATCGAGAGAAGCAGCCGCTTGGCTTATGAAGAGAGATGAAGTATTCATAATTGTCAGCATGGATGGGCATGGTGACAAACTCCCTCGGTTGACTGTCTAGCTTCAATGCAAAAGTGTGTGGTAATGTGTGGTACTAGTAAGTGGATCACGTGGGTTGGGTGAACTGGTTTCGCCTACACCCGTAAAACACTGCAATAAGGGAGATGCATATACCAGCAGCCTCCAACAGGTCACCAATTGAGACCTGTTGGGGCCCAAGAACCCTTTGAAGGAGACCTGTTGGAGGATGCTGGTATGAAGTGATATATTCGTCTTCGCGGAATTTGTTTTGGGAATTCGTCTTCGTCTGCGGGTGGAAAGTCGATACCCGCTGTGTGCGGGTCCAATGTATATATATATATACGACTAATAGACCGTGGGCCATGTGGGAATATCCCCTAAATCGACGTTGGCACCCATGACCCCGTTGGATGGTTCAGGATGTTGTGAATGCCCATCGTTTTCACGACCGCGCGAATGGCGCCCTTTTTGCGCGAATGGCGCATCTCCCTAAGATCGCTTGCCAAAAAACAAACAGGGCCTTGCCATAGGGGTAAATGGTATAGCCCATTACCAGCAACAGTGGATGAAAATGGTTAGTAGAAGCTTTTCTAAAAAAATAGAGATACTTTTTTCCCGAAGGTTACTGGTTTACTGGGATCCACCATGAAAACCCACCTTAACCTGATATCTCAAGCCGAGCACTTCTTGATCATCTTGGACTTGCTGTCCAAGAGCCTGAAAAAGAAGAACAAAACAGATTCCCCAGAAGGGGAGTCGCCCATATGGAAAATAAACAAATCACCTTAAGCAATGCCAAGTCGGATTGAATTCTCAACCTCACATGGATCACGTCCCATTTCGTTCGGACCTTGAACTGTTGCCGACCATACGATGGACACGCGGCGCCAATCTGCGTGAGCGCACTGGTGCGGTCAAGGGTTCTGGAAACTTGCAATTGGTTAACTCGGCTCGCCTATCTACACAGCTTATTGATACCCATGGCTAATCTATGGCTACAAAATGCTACAAATTGATATTGATTGCTTCATCCATGCTCTTGATCAGACTAGCTTTAATGCATCACATGGCAAATGCTGGTAAGGTCATGCAAGGGCAACGATTGAACAAACAGGGCAACTGTCACAATGAAACAATGAACCTCCACGTATTACAGCTAATACGTGCTGCACAGCTTTCTGCCCACCTCAATCTGCACATGGTACTGCACATTGTCATAGTTGCCCAGCACATTCCTGAGTGAACGTACCCCCCTCACAATTCGGTGAGCATCCTCCTCACAATGCTTTCCGTGTCCTAATTCCATGCATAGCAAAACTCATCCGCAGTCTTTCCCTTGAGGTGATCTTTGTTGATTCCAAAGCTGAATGATTCCTTTTGAGAACCACTTTTAGTAGGGATTTGACCTCGAACCATGCCCTGCCAGATTCACATCCCATTGCTCCTTGGGCTTTTGCTTAGAGTCTAGTTGTCCGAACCTTCCGGGGGGTCTGAAGGGGAGACCCCCGGCCTTTTAACAAAAAAACACGCCAGTTGCGCGCCACATGCACCGAGTTCGCCGCGGATGTGAGTCCAACTTCAACTGCCGGGCTGTCACCTGTGTCACGCTGTTGGCGTGTGCCGTGTGTAAGAATTCTTTTTAGGGCTCCCACGTGTTTCAAAGGTGCTCGGGGTAGGGTTTCTGAAACCCGCTTCATGTTCGATCAACCACGGTGACCAATAGGATCCTTTGGTACTTCGCAGACTTGGGCGACTTACTAAGTCTCCGCTATGTCTTTGCGATGTGGTGGCTAAGTATGGTCCAAGTGGCCAAAGTCAGGCTATGTGTCGCCATACTTAGGTGGCACTTGTCAACGTTACAATGTAATTGCTGATGTTAGGCAAGTGTTGATAAGCTTTGCCAAGTGCAAGTTAAGTTGTGCTAACTGTTGCTAGTTTTTTTTGATTTTAAAAATTGTTATACTCAATGTTGACTATGCGTTATTGTTGGTTGTTTTGTTGTCCGAACTTGATTGTTGATTCAATTGTTGAATGACATCGATTGGTTAGATTTGGTTTGATAGAAGGTTGGCTTGACATTGATTTGGACGTATTGCATTCTTCTTCGTTATTTCATTTAACTGGATTGTATTTAATTGGATTGAACTAGATTAGATTTTATAGGGTTGGATTTGATTGGATTGGTTTTTAATCAGAACGGGTGCTCCTGGGAGATGTGTTTCATGCAAAAAATGATGATGCAAAAACAATGTGTTTTACAGTGATTTCTTGCAAAATCCTCTCCAAAATTGAGGTTTTGAGCTATTTTTTGATCAATTTTGTGAGATCCAAGCCTATCCCAGTTTAGAGAGAAAGCTATTGCAACTAGGGACTCATTACTAAAAAACAGCTCAACTTGCTTGTTTTAGTGTGTTTTGGTATTTTGTGTCGATTTGATTTCTGTGGAGTTAGTATTTAACAAATGCTAAATTTTGCTAAGTTCAAGATCACTTTTGCTAAGTTTTGATAATATTTTTATAAGTCCCTACTAAGGTCTATATTTGTTCTATAAGTCTTCAAAAGTCAAGAGGATCCTACTAGTAGGCTTCTGCTTGGATCTCCCAGAGAATTAACCATCGCGGGCTGCAGTGTTCACCCTAATCGCACCGGGACATCCATTGGATTCAGGCTCCGGGATTCAGAGGGTAAACGATAAGATGACCTAAATATATTATGTTGACCACGTATGCAAAAACTGTTGATGCAACCGGAAAAGAAACTTGGAAAAAATGAGCAAATAGAATGCAGAATGCACTCATTTTCCAAATTAGGAAAACAGTAGGAAAGAACAAGGGAAAAACTTGAGAGAGGAAGGGGGAGAACGAAAGGTAGCGCAGCACCACGTTTGGAGAGAAACTGCGCATGGATCCACCACCATTTTTTTTGTGTCACCTCAGTATGGGGTCAAACCTCCACATTTTCCGAAGCACTCGACTCTACATCTATGTTGGATTCGGCCTTGAGGATTTGTTGTGGTGGTGTTGGGTTTCTGGTTGTTGATCAGTTCACATTGGCACAATCTATCCGTCAAAGATCTTTACGTTGTCTCAAGCAAGCGTGGAAGCACGTCAGGACATATTGGTTCGTGTTCATTCTTGAAGACTTGATCTGAATCCTGTTCTGGCTAGGACCCGGAAGGTGAGACGTGATATATCTCTTTGGATAAAATGGCAAAATGCCACACTGCAAACCCTTAATCGTACGCCGTGAAAAAAGTCGAGGTTGTATGGGAGAGACGAACTTGTGTGCTTGGATCAGCCAAGTTTGTGGCCACTTTGAAGCATATATAGCTTAAAACCATCGATATTTACAGGGTTTTGTGCCGGGAAGGCGCACAACACCGTGTCAATACCGTAGATGTTTGCCTTGTTGAAGCCTCCAAAAGCCGAAAAAAAAACCTTCCCGACACATGTTTCCTTGGTTTTTGACAATGTTCGGCCATTTTTGAAGCCTAAACACCTCAAACACAATCGTTTTTGTTTATGGAGTTGTTTGCCGGACAGCCACATGAAACCCTGTACATTGCGTGGTTTGAGGCAACTCTTGAAGACTGGAGGAGCTGAAAACAGCTTGTATTTACAGTGTTTTCTAGCCGTTGACAAAGAGGCGCGCCAGGGTGGAGTTGAAAAGGGGGGCCCCACCCTCCCGCCACTAAGCCGAAATGTCGGAGGTGATTTCTCGGTGAGATAGGCTTCCACTCTGGTTATAATTCATTTTTGCTACAGCGAAAGGATAACTCAGGTAGCGTAACCGCTACCTTTCGTGACATAGAGAAACAAATACACTTCCAAAGAGACCTTGCATTCCAATGTGAAGACAATAGAAAGGACAGCGTGGTATGTCACGAAGAAAGGAGATCACTGCCTGCCCTTAGAGGACAAACCATGAGGGAGAGAGAAAGAGGGTTAGAGCAAACTCGCCAAATTGAGCATACGTCTCCTAAACGGCGTGCTGTTGCAGTGAGAGTGGAAAGCGTCAACGCGTCAGTTCAGAGCTTGCAGGCTGGGTCGAGGGCCCAACAACCAAGGGCCAACAAAGTGAATTAATATGAATTAATTGCTAGAATACTGGGTTCACAAATAGAATTCGCATCAAAACTTTAAAACACGTGTTTGTTTCCGACTTTTTGTTCATCGGGTTCTTTTGTCAGAGCAGCTATGGCAGAAGACCCGGCCATGGTTGACACACAAGAGGATGTGAGCCTTTCGGGATGGGCAAACCTGGCCGCAAAGCAACTTGTGTTTTCTCAAAGGGAGACGATCGTTTTTTCAAAGCGACCGTTTTTTCAATTGCGCTGGCAATGTGCATTGACAAAGCAAGGACTGTACGGTACAGCGCAACTTTCATGTTTTGTCACTTAGTTAAATGTCTTTCTGGTCAAGAGTCAAGACTTGTTTACTTCAGACACTTTACAGCGTTCTTCTATATTTTTATACTATATACCTGCGATTTACGTGAAAAGATCTTCAGAAAAAATATTGTTGGTGCAGAGTGTGTGCGGAGCGGGGCCGGCGCGTTCCTGTTGAAGGACTCAGGTGAGCGGTGGGCGATGTCATGCTGCCGTCGCATTCACAAACATCTGCCACAAATCTGCCAAAAAATTGACACATGTTTAAATTCTAGTCTCGCGGATGTCCAACATCCATTGATCAAAAGGCTGATGAATCATGATGAGTTAAAATGCATTCGAGACTCTCTACCAAACTACCAACATTGCCGATTTTTGGAGAAATCTTGCTTTAAAATAAGGTCTGTCCACCTCTGTCCACCCTGTCTGTCCACCATGACACACCACCTTTACACCAGCATGTTTTCCTTCGCGATTCCACCAGCTTTAGCTGTTAGTCTAATGAAGAATCACTATTGGAATAAGGGATTTTGTATATAAAGGTAAAAGGAAGACCCTTCGTTCGATCTGGAGGTTCTTTTTCCAATTGTTGATATGAGTTTATATACTGTAATCGATTTTACATAAGACTTTCCTAGGCAACTTTTCTGTTCTTGTTCGCTCTTCCCAGGCTTCCATCTTTGCAGGTACCCATTTCGGGGACCTATGAAAAAGACCGCGACCGCGTGTTTAAGTAGGTGGAAGGGATTTGAGGCTTCTATACGTTTCGATCTCTTTGAGGGGGCTGCAACTTCAACGCCCAGCCTCCGTGAGGGCTTCCCCCCTGCGATCCACCTGAGGTGCAGGACGACACGATCGGATTTGGGCGGCGCCAGAAACGGTGCACAAACATGTTGAAGGCCTCCATCAACCCTGCGAGTGACATGGGCCGGAACATGAACCTGCAAGTGATAGGCCTTTTTGATCCTTTTTGGCAGTGGGTTGAAGGTTCACGGAATCGGTGGTAAAAACCAGAGTCCCCCCTGGTGCCATAGGAAGACCCACATGCACATGAATGAACCCTGGCAGAGTGAAGTATTTCCCGCATGGTGAGATCTAGGTATGCCAAATGGTACCCGGTGGTATACATTTCAAAAGCAGCGGGTCATTCAGAGCGATTCTCAAGGGGTGGACCAAGACGATGCCCGCGCCCACGTGGGAACGAAACCTCTCGACCAGCCGAGCGCGGTCTTGCGACTCCCAAGCCGTTTGACTGGGAAAGCTCAAGGTGTTCACAGAACTTCTCATCGCTTCTTGTTGAGCGGGATGTCCCCAATCCGCCTCAAAGAAGGTTTAAAGTTATCCATACTTTTCCGAACTCTTCCAGGGCAGGTCGTGTCAGCGGTATCGGTGAACATGTCGAAGTGGCAGGAGTCAAAGGCAGCACCACACGGGCAGGGTCTCCGCCTGCGAAAACGGTGCTCTAACCATCAACCACAATCAACTTGGATTCGCTGTCCAGGAGCCTGGAAGGAATATAAAGTACTCCCCAGGAGGGGGATTTACCCATATGGAAAATAAACAATAAACAATCGCCTATGGCAAAGCCAGGTCAACCACCTTCTCAGGTGGATCAATCCCTCTGGCATTGGATCCTCTCCCCTTGGAGCCACTGAAATGGAACCAAGACGTGTCTACTCTTTGAAACAGAACTTTCGGGGGTTAAGACCCAAAAAGGCATAAAATAGTCCTCTCCTCCAGAATCAAAGATTGCTTGACAGTCCACACCAGTTCTTTACCCTACAGGTCCAGTCTGACCCAATAAAATTCAATGAACTTCAGTAAACTGAGGTCTTCGACCTGTAGGGCTAGGTTGTCCTTTTCGCTCCGGAGCACGCCACTCTGACCTGACAAAGCCCATAGCCCCAAAAAGAGCTGCAGCCAACGGCTCATGGTGTACCTGCAACGGCCACTGAAGAGACTTGGGGACCACACAAGAAGCTTCTCGCACATGATGTCTGTTGTTAAAGAGAAGAAATCCCCGACCACCGCCGGAGTCATTGTTCGGAAGCGAACCATCTGCAGTCATTCTGGTTTTATTATGGCATCGTATATGATATAACATGCACATATATTATGTTATTAATATAGGAATTGATTTGTCGCCAGAAGACTCTCTGGTTTCATCCAGCTGAATGATATAGTTAAATATCAAACAATTACTGAACACATGCTTTTGTCTTGGACGCCTGCCTCGAGGCTAGAGCGGCCTCATGGGAACCACATGGAAGGGCTTCGTGTTTTTTCCGTATGTCTTCACTCCTGGTAGGGGCTGGAGTGTTTTGGTGCTTCTGGTCTGCTTTGGTCTTTGCGTTCACGAGAGTGTGAGTGCTCAAAAAATGAAACATGTTTCATCGAAGGTTTCTTTGTTGGCCCACAGCCCATGGGATTGGATGAGATCTTGGCGAAACAACTTGGCAAATGTAGAGCCTCTGGACAAGCCCGAGTCTCATTTGCACAGCTTTCGCGGGCGTTTGTCGATGTCACTTGGCGTTACCACTTTGAGCAAAGGGCTTCGGGACCACGGTCAAAAAAAAATGGATGGTTCTTCATTTGCGATATCTCTTGGCGCGAGGAGCGATCGCGTTGACACCATCGCTACTAGGGTGGAGGCCATCTCTACTAGGGTGAAGACTATCGCTACTAGAGTGGAAACCATCACTACTAGGGTGGAGGCTATCTTTGGGTGGAGGCTATCGCTACTAAAATACTGGGTGCAAAGCTACCACTCCAGGCATTGATACCATGCTGAAGATGGACTTAAGTGTACACCAATCAATTAAATTTGATGCCTGTCAGCTACACTCTACACATGATGCCCCCCAGAACTGGAACTCTTAAAGGTCCATGCAACAGCTGGCCTGCATTTTTGCCACATCCAATCTTCCAGAGTTCGCACATTTTTTCAGCCCTCGCTGCGCAAGCGAAGTGCCGGTCAGTGCACGCTCACGAACTAATTGAGCGCTTGCACCTGCCGAGGGAACATCGATGGAAAGAGTCCTCAGTTTTGCGGTTCTTTGAAGCAACATAAATTCATTCCAAGGTTCCGGTTTTTTGCCTCACAGTTTCAATGAAACGGATTCTCTGGGACGTCATTCCAATGTCTTCAGCGAGACGAATACCGTTCCTTTTGAAAACCAGAATTGGTCCCTGGATGTTCCGTCCAAACGGTGGACACAACCGGTCAGGAACTGGAAAACATATATCACCCCAGAGAGAGACCCCGTCAAAGACCGTCAACCAACCCTGTGGCCAAATCACCTGCTTATCATCTCGGGAGTCATACCTAGAATCGTTCCAACTGGTGCGAAAAGAGCTACCAAACTTGGTTTCATTGAAACTGAAGTTCGGCAGATTGTTTCCTGCACCAGTTGGATGATCTGTCGGTCCCGGTCAGCTCGATCATTATGTTCGGCTCCGCAGAGGCTGGACACGCCAGTGAAGGGTGCTTTGGCTCGACACCCCGCATGTTCCTTCCCAAAAGCGCCCGGAAATCCAAAACACTTCGTGTGATGTCGGGGTAATTTACCAAATCACAAACACTCCATGTATACCATACCTGGATCCTCCTTTAGGCTAAAAGATGTGCCGGACCTCAGTCCGGCAAAATGTTCCGCCGGATTCCCTAAAAAAACGCCGAAACAGAGATGATAGGTTGGTTGGATCATACACAAGCAAACTGCCTTTGCGCCACGAATAGTTTTCTGGAACACACTCATTCCACAACCCAACACTGGAGCCTTCCCGTTCCCATTGCCCTCGCCCATCTTCCAACTTGCCTAAGAGCAGAACCTTCACAAAATATAAGCAAACGTGTGCCCAAGCAAAGACTTCCAAGAACAAACCAAGGAGTATGTCCCAAGGAGCCCCTCTTTCCCTGCAACCGTGTCTCTATAAAGCTCTTTTACAAAGTGGTTTCTTTTTATGATTTTTAGTTTACGGGAAATTGCGGGAAACCTTCAAAATACGTATATATACTGATTACTGAGTCCGGAAATTACGCCGGAGTTATGGTAAATTACGCCGGAGTTACGACGCGGCCTTTTTTGGCAACTCTCTGTCTCTGCAAAACATTGAGATTCTGAACAACACACGTTCCACAACCCAAAGCTTGTCCTGCAGGCTCTGCAAACCTGCGCAGCTAGAAATTTTCCCCAGCCCCGACATCCTGAAACAATGGGAATACATTGTCGCCTATGTTCTTTCAGCTTAGGTACACCCACTTGCGTCTTTCAACACGTGCATCGCACTGTGTCGATCTGATTGAGCCAGTGTGAGCCAATGCTGAAACCGGTGGAATGAGAAAACAGCGGAACAGGCAAATGAGCACACTTTCCAGATCTATCAATTTCCCTTCAAAGAAATGCGGACCACAAAGAATGCAAAGCCTTGAGAATCCAAATAAAGTGACTTGGAAAAACTGGAAGCTCGGCGCCGGACCCTGTAAAAGTGCCGGACACTAAGATCTAGGTATTTGATGTGGTATTTGCTATATATTGCGCTGGCTGAAAAGAGGTCAATCTGTAGGCCCACTGTAGGCATACATTCCAGTCCCCAATCGTCTGGGATTTTTTCTGCTCCACCGATTCCATTGAATTTGCCAACAAACTAGATCCCGTTAGTTCGCGTCGACCTGATGCGAGGCAAACACTGGGAATGTTCCGGACAAGTATACCCTGCCGTGCGCGTCGGCACGCTTCACATCGGTGTCCGACCCTGTTGGCTCCCCGCGAACCGCGGTCGCGCGCGCGCGGCCTTGCCACCCTTGGGTCGCATGGCCACCACGACGGAATGCCCACTCTCCGGCAACGTGCTCCGCAGCAGCTCGTGCGCCTTCGTGGCATCGAAGCTCTCGAGCATCGCCTGACGAAGCGAAAGCGAGGCAAGCGTTCTGACGAGCCGCGCGCCACCGCGGAGTCCTCATTGTGCTGGAGCCAAGCAGGGTGGAAATCAGGGCGCCTCTTCCCCCCCCCCGCGGTGGGACCTCGGACCGGAGCTATACTTGTATAGCTGGACGATGGCCTTGTCTGCCGCGAATGACGATGACGATCCTCGTCCTGTTCCTATCGATCCGTAGTTCTCCTCTGGGTCGTCAAGATGTGAACATCTCGATCCATTTCAATGGTCCATTCAGGCTGTGTCATGCAAGCAGACCGGTGAATCACGGCCACGTGGTGCCACACTGTGACACTGTCCACGAGGCGAGGACCGTGGTCGTTGTTTCGCTGTCGATCGGGTGAGGCATGGCGATTAGCCCAGCTGTTTGAAGGGTCTTCCTTGTGGAGCCCTGTCAAAGCAGAAGCAACACCACGACCATTCAAGACATGTCAAAACAAGTCTTTGTAATAGACCGTACCCAAACACTCCAAGGGACTGGCATAATATCAGTTAGGATGCTTGACTTCAGGGGTCTATGTAATCAATTCTTTCACGTCCCATTCAAAACACCGCTACAAACTGCGCTATACATATACTACGCCTTCAGGGGCGCATCTTGCCGCCTTGAAACACGGCCCCCCTGACCCTTGCCGCCCTGAACTAGCAGCCAACCGCTCTCCACTTCCAGTCCACACCACATCCGCAGCTCACACGGCGCCTTTCGTGCTCTCCACCACTGGGACATGGTGCTGCCCACATCCGGCTGAGCCACGTAGCAGCGCGAGAAGTAGAGGTCCAGGATCGTGTTCGCCCACCAACCTCGAGACCCGACATCCGATGACCCTAGGCATCCAGTCGTACCTTCTCAGAAGGTACTTGGACCCTTCAAACCTACATAACAGTGTCTCCAATCACCTTCTGAGAAGGTACTTTGTCTCTGTTATGTAGGTGGTTTGGAGGGTCCAGTCATACCGACGACTGGATCCCTATAGCTTATAGCCTTAGGGTGAGTGGAGCAGGGCGCTCGCTTGTCGCACACCCCAAAAAGACTCTTTTTGTGAGCCACAAGGTGAGGCAAAAAGTATGCGTCTTTGACTTAAAAAAGGAATGTCATAGTCATATATGCAGTACAGAATTCTTCTATACAGGATGTCTCCTGACTCCAAACGCAACATGTAAAAGGACATGACGCTGTGTTAACACATGTTAACACATGTTAACACCGTGTTCGGTGTATCTCCAGGTCCCAAGTCGCTGTTGGTATGAATCAGCTCCTCCAACTCTCGACGGTCCTGGAGGTCGCAATGGATACCGGTGGAACGGAAGCAGTTCCGGAAGCGTTGGCGGTTTGAGACCCGTTCGATCAGATGGTTCGATGAAAGAATGCCACCCAATGCGATTTGGTTATACCCTAAGGATCCTGGGACCTGAGCACAGATAATAGGATAGACCCATGTTCTACCCTAATAAGATCTAATAAGGATCCTGGGACCTGAGCCCTCAGGTATGACAGGGCTCGAAGCCTCTATGACAGGGGTCGGTTTGAGGCCCCGAATCAAACCCAAGCTTTTGAGGGTCCGGATCGGGGAGGCCCTTTTTCTGTGGGGAGGCTGATACAGTATGAGCTGATGACGTCTCTTGGGGTCCTCTTCGAAGTGAGGGACTCTTCTTGGAATTCGGAGCGCTGGTCCGAAGTACGGGACTCCTCTTCAGGTTTGCCTTTCAGAAGTTTTGAGCGCCCGGAAAAGAACGACCAGCCGATCAAGACTTGGGACCTTCCATGGGCAGGCAGTGCACATGTCGTTTTCGGCTGGATATGGATTCCACACTCAAACCATTCCATGTTGGAGAAAACCCATTGTGCTCATGAGATCAGGTTTCAAGACATTTCAACAACCACCTGAACTTGGAACTGGAAAACTCCTGTCTCGCGTGTCCTAACAATCCTTGGACACATCTTTGCAGGGGTCGGACTCGACCTCTGCGAAATGAAAAGACACCCGAACCTAGGGTTCTGATTCTTAGGATTCAATCCATGTGCCAGACCGCCGACAGGCTCTTGGGCACCCCAGTCAGTGTCCCCGGGGCTCCGCTTTTTCAAGCAAGTGCGTCACTCGACCCAAACCCACCAAAACCAATCCAGTTTGACTATCACAAGCTGCCCCAGATCGATGTGTTCAGGAAGTTCCAGAAAGACTCACTGAGTCAAACTGGTTCAGGAAGACGTGACTAACACGGCCTGCTCCATGGCCGCGGCGACATTCTCGGCCGTGAAGGCCGCAGAGCCATCGCGCAAACGCTGGAGCTCCTGCGTCCGGTGTCGGGCGAGATGGTTTCCGGCCAGTCTCCGGCCCGATGACATGCCAGGCGAATGAGTGAGTGGAGGTCTTGCATGGAAGGAAAACTGTACTTCAATAAAACTGAGATGGTTTACCCATACTATAGGCATGTACGGACCATCTTGGAAGGTCGATCAAAGTCACAGATCTCAGAAAGCTAGAGAGCGAAAAAACGCCACCCATTCATGAGGCCTATCCATTGAGCAACCCCCCAGACCTAGATCTTCCAACGATGCAACATGTCTGCCGAACTTGGCTGGTTTGATAGATGGACAGGCAATTTTCTTTTTGCGAACATCCAGTATACATAGACCACTAGTTCGGGTCCCGCTGAAGAGGCACCTCGGAAATGGCGGTGCTTCCAAAGTACAAAAAAGAACTCAAGAAATGAACATGGTGAAGGTGCATGGGTAACTAAATTGAACAGCACGTTGACTCTGAAACTACAAGCTATACCCTGGGTGTCGAAAACCGCAATTGATTTAATAACCTGAATCCCGAATCCCAAACAACTATTTTTACTAAGAAGGATTTTGAACTCCAATGCCATGCCAACCCATTTTCCGGAAGGCTATAGGGGTCTAACGGGGTATGCATGTCTTCCAAGCCAAGCTTAAGGCATGTTCTGTTCGATTCCAGGTTCTTCGCCCGCTTTGTTGCTGCCACGCCGCAGCTCTGGTGGCTTGGACCAGTTCGTCGGATTCCACTGGATCGCATTCAAAACTGACACCTCAACGGTGAGATGTGCGGCGCGGCTCCGAAAAACTGGAAGTACTGTTTGTTTGTTGCACTAATAGAGTCACTTCAGCAGCCATAGCTGGTGACAAGTTTGGTGCCCAGGTTCACCACCTCTTAGGGTCTTCAAACAGCCGAACCTTGGAGGGTGCTGGTCATATCTGAACCATCATCTTCCAGCTGCGGGATTCACTCGTCTAGCATCACCCAAGACCCTGCAAGACCATGCAGGGTCAGTTGGCTGGTGAGTTGGTGGATGCTGGTCGTATGAACCCTGAGCTGCACTCTGAGAAAGCGGTGAAAGGAATTGGCATCTCAGTGGGTGAAAGGCCATGGGCCATGGAAAGGCGTGCTCACTCATCGGCGAGGGAGTTCAAATCAGAGACCGAAGGGACTACCAATGGGTTCGGAGCAGCTGGCCTGAAAGTGACCAGAAAAAGAAAACACTTGGAATCAACATGAATCAACCCCAGAAAAACCGTCCCATCTAGAGCTTTTGAGTCACTGGCAGTAGAAGCTTCCCACCTGCCCCATGGCCCCACACTTCGAAAACATGAGTGCTGTAACCCTTAAGACAAAAGTGGGAAAGACATGGAAAAACCTGGTTTTGTAGTGTGGATTCCGTAAAACAATGGTTGTTCGAGATGACCTGCCATCTTCCCCGCCTATCAGAACAGTTCACCGCAACCTCTTTCACCCGACGACTGAGGCCTCTGACAAGGCGATTGTTCGCCGACGCCCAGCTGGTTCGCCTTTCCGTGGAGCGCGCGCCAAGCGTCGCGCGCCAAGTGGCTGAGATTTCCACGTCGTGCGTGCCCCATCTTGGGTGGCGACAGGCCCAGGTCACTGCCGACGGCCACGGAGTAGACCTGCTCAGCAGCTGGGCTGGTTTGAGGGCCAATGGTGGACCAGGTTTTGACTCATCTCTATGTCAGTGCAAAGACTGTGGCCATGTGGTGAACGCGCAAGAGTGCTCATGTCAATCCGTAGAGTGCAGGGTTTCAGGGTGTTTTCACCAGGTTGGAGCAAGGGCATCGCTACGAACGGAGCTCCTGGCATCGATATACGAACGGAGCATTCTTATAGCCACTAGGAGCACGGAGCTCCTGGCATCGCTACTAGTAACAAAGGGCATTACTATATGCTATAGTAATTCTTCCTACTCCGCGGTGTTGAGACTCATCACGGAACTCATCAACGTTGACCCTCCCAATGGTTCCAACGTTAGACTCCCGGTGGTTCCCTTTGTCCCAAACCAACACGTTCCGCGAGTCGGTACGTGGCCACCGCCTAGGTTGGTCACCATGACACCGCCCCCACATTCAGCCAGTTCGGACAGGGTCCCTCTATCCCGTCATGCAACGAAGACCCAACAGGTGGCGATGGCAACCTAATAGCAAAAGGAACCTAATTGATAGGGATGGCCTCCAACCTACTGGCGATGGTCTCCAACCTGATAGCAGGTGGTGTTCACTCAAAGATCTTTCAGCCCCAGCGCCGTCGTCGCTCGCGGCCGCCGGCACCTGGCCCCTCTGAAAACGCAGCACTTCGACCAGGCGTGTCTCCAGCAGCCGTACCAAAAGCCTTGGCCACCAAATCACCCCAAACACTCCGTATGTTGAGATGATTTGCCTATACCACCCCAGAAACCCCTCGAATGTAGGTATATACCTATAGATCTTCCAACCGTGCAGAATTTCTGCCGCAGAATGTTGCACCGTTGGATCACCTGGACATCGGAAACTCCCACGTGGAGCAGCGAATCAGCTTTTTGACTTCGGCGTCCGGTTCGACGACGTGGTCTGAACAGTGCCCCTCTCAACCCCAACAAATGCTCAGAAAGGAACATCGCTATCGCCAGGTTCCAAAGGGGTGGACAAATAGTTCCGATCATCTTGGCACCCATCTCTTCGAAGTTCACCCCTTGGACATGGGTGTTTTTCATTGTACCATGTATCACGGTACCTTCAAAAATCTCTGGGGAGTCCTGTCTTGAGACCCGAGTACAGCAGGGTATTCCAAACCTCGAGTTCGGAAGGTGCTGCATTTATAGATACCTCTCAGCGAATTATACCATTTGCAATCCATACTGCGATTCGTCTTAGAAAACGACACCGTCTGGTCAAACGTCTGTTCCCGGCAAACCAACTCTCCTGGTCCTGCGGCCTGTCGTTTTGTCTTCGCTTCCCCTGCTTCGCTTCTAAGAGTCTCCCCTTGTTCTACCCAGACGCAAACCTTCGACGCTGGACCCGAATCCGAGGGGTCTGGGGGTTCTCACCAACCCCGATCGGTTTCTGGGTCGAACACTCCACTTTCGGATCCTTCAAGTTTTCTTTAAAGTCGATGAAGTCGACCTGGTTTGTTCTTCCGAACATGTGGCCCCAAGGCTTGATCTGTTTCTTTTCTACAAGGTCCTATGGTTCGACAGTTTGGCTCCAAAGATCCTGCCTGTCTCAAGGTACAAACAACGGGTAGATACTACGAGTACGGTCTATACAGGGTCATAGGGTAGTTTGGAGGCTCCAGGTGCTTTCCTTTGTTCGCATCAAGGTGCTGCAGTTGCATCAGCTCCAGCAGCTCTTCTGCGCATTTTTCGAGCGAATCCGCACACGAACTGGAGGACATCTGCAGCGGGAAGCAGAGCACCGTGCTCCCCTGCGGTGGGCCAGGGGAGTAAAACCGGCACAAGTACGGCACGGCTTGGGGGAATACGCAAGGTGGGCGAAAACATATACTCCATGTATGGAATATTTTGCCAACACTGGGGTGATTTTAAGATGCTTTAAGGGTCAATCGAGTAGATATATTCCACACATGGAAATTCCGAGATGGCTGAGCCAATGCGGGCTGCATGATGTTATGAAACGGAGCAAATGATGTTATGATTAAAACATATATGTGATTCATGATCTTTGAGCGTTCCAAGGATGTGCCAAAAGAACCTGATAAGTGTTCACTGATCTATCTATGATGGTGTAGCAAATATTCCACTATAATTGCCTCACATCGCCCTCAACACCCCATGTCTGGCTCTAAGCGGCTTTCAAGCTCAACTGGATTCTTTACTTGCATTGGACACCAAGAGCTTTACAGTAAAGATTCTTTTGGTATACCTTGGTTTTCTACTAATATCATATCGGTATTTCATGGTATTTCATTTAGAGCAACAAGCTTCTCCTGGCCGGTCGCTCCGCAAAAAAAGAAGAAACCATGCGCCTTGGGTTCGACCATCCGAAGGTGGACGTCTTCCTGGACGGACTTCGTTGGAAAATGAATCTCCTGGCCGACCGTCCGCGCCTCTCCAACCGTCCGCTCTCCCCAACGACCGGTGGGAACCCAGCCGGACAAGATCTTGGGCGTGGAACTGGCTGCTAGAGGCGGTTCAGAAACAACACATGTCCGCTATGTTTTTTTGTAAATGATCAAAGACATAGATTGGTGGCGCTTGGGGGTGTCCCCCCATTGGCCCAACTGGAGACCTGTAAGGTGCCCTGACTTCGCCCCCAGCTGTTCAGGTCATCTGGATGCGACCGGAAACATGCCTGATCGGATGGTCCCATGCTTCATCAGCCCGGATTTGAACCGCCACTGACTTCATAGGAATCCCGAACCACCATTGTAAGGATGTTACACTGCAAAATAACCATGTCAGCCCTTCTTTGAAGGCTAGGGATGGCTAGGGTATATCATCGCCCACAGCGTTAACGCAAGGTGAGCCGTGCTCACTTGGATGGATCTACCCAAACGCGACGCTGGACCCGAATCCTTGTACGGAGGGGTCTGGGGGTTCTCACCAATCCGGTTGGGTTCGGGACTTGGGAGTCGGGCGAGAAAACGAAGCGTCTGGGTAGAAGTCAAGGCATTCCACGGATCGGGTGCCTCCGGATGTGGCTCATGTTCTACGGCTCGGCGAGGCTCGATCACCCTGTTTTTGGGTCACCAGCTGTTGGAAGCCTAACACCCAAAGAACCTTCTGGGTATCGCATTCCAAGGCTCAACCAAAAGAAAGATTGATTGAGGGATCCCTGCATTATGAAGATTGTTTCTGCAGTTCAATCAATGTGATAGAGCTGATATGAGCCGATACAACCATAAAATCCTAGCATCTATTAGCTCATACCAAACCACCTACCCGCGACAGAACTTCACAACCCGCAGACCGTGGCCATCCCTGACCTGCGCGGCCCGCGACCCGCAACCACCGTGGCCATCCGTGACCCGGTCCAGTGACTTCACTGATTCTCGCATGGTCAGATCGTCGCATCTCTCGTTCGAACCATCCCTGGAGTGTGTTGTTTTCGGCAGACGTGACGGTGGCACCGAGTGGTCACTGGCGAGACTCGTACAAACACTTTGGGGAATGAAACCAAAGGAGGCTCTAAATGAAACTTCCCGAAACTTCCCGAGTCGCATCAGTTCGTGTCTCAGTACTAAGTGGTTGAAGGACCGGCTGCCTAGGAGTGCACGAAGCAGAATGACCCGGCCAGTGTTGAAGAAAGCTTAGAATTTGGAGCAAGTTGGGGAGGGTGCTGCAGAATGTTCACAGATTGAGATGTTGGAGAGTTGGTGTTGTGATGTGTTGTGGCCCCAATGCCACTTAACAAAGCTGGCGCAGAACTTGTGAGGGCTGGAACTAGGGCGAAAGAACGGCGTGTTTTTTGGTGAAGCCTATGCATAGTGCACTGACAAGACAAAGCTGTATCGCCCTACCGTGATGACCTGACGAAATGAGGTGATCCTGTGCTTCGAATTCCCAGACACTCCATGGGACTGCCATATATGCCGCCCCATTGACCCCAAGTCAACCACCCCTGGCCTGATCGGTATATGCCAGTCCCATGTGTCGTGTCTGGGCTATGGATGAATTTGGGCTGTTCCATGATGTCCCATGTTTCATCGAATGTTCAGCAGCGCCCAGCAGGTGGCGCCGTGCAAAAAGCTTCTGCTGTTCTGCCTCACCTCTTGAGGCGAACATGCGAAGAAAAGCAAGTGACGTCACCAAGGAATCACCAGCTGAGAATGAATCATGCAGCATCGCACCAGGGAAGAAGCAGCAAACCTCAAAAGTCTCCCGCAGACCCTTGGGTTGAATGCTTTGCCTTGACCGGCCTTTAGCGTTCACTAAGCTTCAACTTGTACCAGATATGTATCTTAAGTCTTCCGTCGGCACCATCGTCAACTGAAAGCATGGTCTCGTTTGCATCATCGCAGGGTATACGTATCCTTCTACGATCACACGTACGATCTCTCCAGCTATCCCAGATCTTTGGGATCCCAGAGTCCATCGAGAAAGCGATGTTCGATCGACTCTGGGAGAGGTCCCCAATCTGTTCGACACGGTGGCGGACCCTCGGCGTCTCCTCGCGGAGCCGAACCCGGCATGTCGAACCATTCCACCCGCCCAGGCGCCGATTGGGGATTGAGCCCAGATAGGTCTCCAGCAGTGTCATTAGCTTCTCCTGATAAATCCACACATGCTCCGAATGTGTTGGTCAAATTTGGTCTGAAGGCCCGTACTACTGCAAGATTGAATTGATCACAAGCAAGAACACCACATGCCTGACTGCCCTGACATTCCCCACACAAAACATCCAATTGGAAATAGAACATGCGAAAAGACAATGCGATTCGACTGCCCGATGCAAGAGTTTTCATCGCCGCCATGCCCACCACTGCGATCGTCTCGGTTCTCCTTCTTGGGCAATTTGCCCGTCAAAACAAAGGTCCACTCACGTGGTTGGCTGGCCCGCTCGTTGAAGATCTGGTGCCGCTAGAAGGGGACTGCGTAGTTGGTTCGTTTTCTGTAGCTTATTGGAATCCAATCGTTCGGGATCTCGGATTCTTGTTTATCTACCAGGAGTCGACCAGTTGGTAATGTTGGTACTGATAATTCAGAAACTGGGGTACAGTCGTACCTGTTTTTTTGAGGAGTGAATCGGACGTCCATTCTTCTCACCAAATCTGGGATCACCAATTGGTCTGAACATCTTCAACCCTTTCCATGGCTTCTCTTCGGTCTCATGATGTCGGGATTTGCGATCAAGCACCCTCGAGTCGGTGAAGGTGTTCAGGGTCCAAGGGCCCCCTGCGGAACCTGCGTTCGGTCCAGTCACCCTCCAGTTCAGGCTTTGATGGACTGCAAACTCCGCAGTCCGGCCGCAGCGCGCCTGTGCAGCCGTTTTGAAGTTCAATCGCAAAATTCTCCAAAGACTCGGCAACCAAGTATACCTCCGGTCCGTCAAAAGAAGAAGTCCACACAGCCCACCAGACGACTCCGGCGCGAGGGCGAGACGGCCGAACGTCTAGTTAACACACAGATGACGGTGGAGCAGTCGACGTCGGACGAGTGTTGGAGGGCTCGGCACATGGGCCGTGCAAAGCTGGAACATCCTGCCACTTCTCTCGCCATGTGACGGATGGTTGCTGCTCACAGCACTCAGCACACGGCGTCGAAACTGACCTCGGCGAAAAAACACAGGGCAGGTAGGCCATAGTCCATAGATTCTGGATCATTTCCAACTTCAAGACCCTTCAACATTCAATCGAGTCCTCAAAGACTTGGGATGCCATGTTTGGTCAAAAGGGGAAACCCTTGGACACCCTGCAAATGCGGAAAGGAGCCCGAGATCCCTGGAGACTAAAGGTGAACCACCTTGAATTCCACCTGTTCTATATATCCGTCATTCCCACGTTTTGGTGGGACAGCCTTGGACACACAGGTCCAATGGCCAGGGTTGCAGCCATAATTAACAAAGGGAACACGTTTCCTAGCCTGGAAAAACCGGCCGCTCTCAACATCCCCGTTAAACCGTTAAACATTCCGGACTGACGTCCCGCGAGCCGATCTTTCCCATCCAAAAGGAGGCAACCGAAACGTTCTTCGTTCACCGTTGGAAAAAGTATGGCCGGGCCTGTCTAAGTATGACCCCTTGGGTATCCTTGGGTAGAGCTCGCCCACACTGGCGCTCACCACGTGGAGTCATGACACCCCGGTATCGTGGTTTGTCCAGCTGCTGAAAAAACGAATTCCACCTGTTCTTGGTGGAGAACCCAATTCCCCCAAACAACTGGATTTAAAAGAAATCTTCACCCCCAAAGCTATGGGTTTCCTGCAGATGCTTCCTTAGCTGAAAGATGCTGAAAGTGGCTTCAAGCTCGTGTTGGCCGGCGGCGTGTTGGCCGCACCGGCTCATGGGACATCGCTAGGTCAATTCGACTGGATTCTGTTCACCCGTTCGTTCTTCTTTCTTCGGCATCAAGGGTCGACCGTTGTTTCCTTTCGCATTGAAGAAAGGGGTGCGCAGGGGCCCAGCCAAAAGCATCCCAAACACGCCAAAAACCATCCAGCCCGTCCAGAAAGGAAGCATTGAGACCCTGGATGCCTGAGGATGCCTGGCGATGCATTTGGCTTCTTCCAGACCTTCTCTCCACCTTCCCTGCCTGGAGCACCCACTAGTAATTCGACCCCACAGACCCTCGATCTCCCAAGCAACTCTGAGGGTCTCGATCCTCGGCCAAACGCCACGCGAGGAGACCCAACTTCACTAAGCTCAGCCTGCGCCAGCCCCGCGGTCCGCGCGGCTCCACATGGCGAGCGAGGTCGGGGGGTAATAAGCGAGGTCGGGGGAGAACGAAGACTTCTTTGGGAGGGATATGATGGTATATGCATAATTGGACGAACATATCACGTGGAAAGTGGAGTGGAAAAACCTCATGTTTGTAAAGGAAAGTCGTCTTCCCAGGGATTGTTTGATAATTCTTGCCATCCACCTGACCCTGTGTCGTGAGTGTTGAGTCGCTCATCAGGTGAAGAAGGAACAGCTTTTGGCGTGTCTCTTGAGGGTCAGCTCTGGTTTTGCACGCGATGGACGTGAAGATGGAAAGATTGTGAAAGATAGGTCAATGATCACTGTTTTGATAGGAAAGGGCCGGAGGGGAAGGTTATCATTTTAACACTGCGAAGGTCCCAAAGGTACCGCAGACAGCAGACATGTATATACTAATATGTTGGAAATGATGTATGGCGAAGTGGACCACGGTGGTCAGGACATGTGAAATTAGAAATGGCTCGCCAAAGCCATCGCATCAGACCAGGTGTGGGGCATGTATTCAGAATCCGGACCAGAGCCAGGCTTTGAAATCCATCCGTGCCATCCGCTTCGGACCGTCAGAATACCGGGGCATGGGACGTCTGAACGTCTGACCCTTCCAACAAAACCAGGCACGGACGTCAATGGACTCCGACTCTGAGGTAAAAAAACTCACAGGTCGACTCCAAGCGCGCCGATGTCGCTCAAATCGGTATCAACTCAATGCGCCTTCCTGCACTGGCTGAACTGGGCACAGGTCGCACGAAGAGCAGTGCCACCAGCATCAAAAGAACCTGGCTTGCTCCATCACAGGGTACACTCCCTGAAATGGATGCATTGTCCACTTATACATGATGATTCCAGGGAGTGCAAAAATCAGGAAACAACTCAATTAGTGCAGAAAGACAAAGCGATGGCTGCGGGTCGAAACATATTCATAGATTCATAGTACAAGCAAATCTATGCCCCTTAACTCTAGCATTTGACCTACAGCAGGTGACAAAAGAAGGCAGGTGCCTCGAAATCAGCAGGCGAGGAAGATGCATCCATCGATGTGGTGTAGGCCTGTTTCATCAGTCCAAATAGGCAACTCCAAATACCCGCTCGAGGCATCTTCAAAAATTGTTGGTTTCCTTGCGACTACCTTCCTCAAACCAGCATAGCTCCTGGTAGAAGAAAGCCATGAAAAAGGCCCAAGGCCCGCTAGCGACTGGTCCGTCGAAACAACCCTCAACGCCTCCATGCTTGGAGGGTTGGGATCCACTCGCTTCCCCTCCAAGCACTCCTGAAGTCGGTGCGATCCAATCGTTGAAGTCGGTGGCGGCAGAGTCGGTGGCGACTCTGGAAGCATAGAAAACCCGCCAAACATGGACTGTAAAAGCTCTTGCCCTGGGGGGCTGGGGATGACTGGGGGGGGGTGTTTCATCCAAGATTCTACAACTCTGTGTAGAGTAGAGGGATGAAAAAGGAACGGCATTGGCGCCATTCCTAAAGCATCAGCCACTTCGACTTCGCTGATAGTTTATCTTGCGGGGGGGGGGGCGGTTCAACATCAATGGTACACATCTGCCCACTGAGAGGGGAGATGAAAACAAAACTCGACTTGAAAGCATCTGAACTCAGATTCCTTAGACCAACATCAGGCGATAATGTGCTCCTCCATCCCACTGAAAGAACCACTGCCCATTTGTCCTGCCGCCTGATCAGTAGCAGTTCCAAGGAGTTTGGGTGGTTAGGTGCTCTCCACGGAGGAAGGTGGTTAGGTGCTCAACTCCGTCCATTCACGTCCATGGCCCCGTCGGATGGGACGAGCCAGACTCCCGTACCTCCTCAAATGGTCATAGTTGAACCCTCCTGGCACCCACCCCAGTCCCACTTTCGAAGAGAAGGTACGGCTGGAGCGCGTTCACCCAGAAAATCCAGGCAGTGCAGTTCCCACGATGTCGCTGGGAGTCCCAGTGGTTCCAAAGTCCAAGCCCATAAGACTTCCCTAGGAATCCGGGATCCAAGTACGTCCTCAGAGGGTACTTGGACCCTCCAAACTTACATAAACAGTCTCCAATCACCGTACCTGACAAGGTACTTGGATCCACAAGACTTAGAAACCCTGGCTCCTTCTATAGTGGTTACCTGGGATCCACTGGGTATAGGGTATCTGAAACCACTCGACTCAGTTGAGACTGAGGAGCCCTGGATGGGATTCCACCACCTGCCGGAACGTCCGGTCGCCGTCGCCTGCAGCGACTCGGCGGGCAAACCACAGATGCCCAACATCATGGCCTCGTTTGGCATTGGCACTTTGAGGACCCAGGTATGGAGCATCAAAAAGGTTTATACACTACACAAACACTCCATGGGACCGCCACATATGCCTACACTGGGGTGGTTTTGGGGGTCAATGTATGCATATATATGGAGTGTCTGGGATATACAATGGTTCCGGTATGGATACGGGTGTGTTGGTAGCAAAAGAGAACTGACAAGCACGAGCGATTATCCTATCCTATCAGTCGTTCTTTCAATCGCTGAAGCGGTCGGGTCCCAAAACAGCCTGTCGGAGGGTCCTGGTAATTGAATAGAGTTACATGAACCACGTGAATGACCCGAATGTAAGTGGCAAGAAGTAACTATTCAATACATGGATGGTACTATGGATGGTCTGGGTACCTTCACCCCTGACCTGATCTGTAAAAATTGACAGTCCCAGACAGGTCGTGTCTGGGTACTGTTTGCATTGGAAGCCAGATTCTGGGACTCTGCTGGAGGCGGCCAAACAACAGAAGGCTTGCGTTGGGATATTTCCAGGTCGGACAGCCAGAACACCATGGAAAAAAGAACATGGAAAAGAAAGAATCAAAATGAATCAATCATTATTGCGGACCCGCCTGCTTTAACCACCTGAAATGTGCAAACGCCGGTTTTTGTTGGAGGAAATTGAGAAGTCTATCCCCAAAAGGGATCCACTGCCACCTTCTCAGAAGGTAGACTTGGACCCTCCAAGCCTACAAACACAACAAATCAACAAATGTGTCTCCAATCATCCTCTCAGAGGGTCAGCAAAATGCACAGGGGTATGCTGCCAATTCCAGCCTGGCCATCGCGGTTTCAGGCTACACCGTACCGTTCCGTTCCGTAAGAAAACACACCGGGCAGCCGACACATCGTTGCGACACACGTGGCATCACGTGGCCGCGTTGCCCAGGCCGCGTTGGAAAAACGGTGCGTCCGACGAACGAGACTCAGAATTCTCATGGATGGCATGGCATGGCACCGATGAGAGTCCCTTTTCCTTGGCTTCTCGTTGAGGTAAGGTACGTGGTTTTCACATGTCACTCCATGAAACCATGAGAGAAAAGGCCCGGGAGTGCGGTGGCAATTCTTGAAATCTATCGTTGCGTCCAAGAGACGCACATCTGGTTCACTTGGGCTTCGCAGCTGATGCCTGTCTCGTAGGCTCTCGTCGCAAAAAAGCACAAGGACACGGGATGGACAAGAGACAGGTGAAACAACAAAGGCACTGCCGATGCGTCCGAACACCGGGCCTCCACTAAACATACCGTTCTCCTGGAGCAGCATCGGGACCAAAGGCTTGACTGATTGGCTGTGAGTACCGCTACACATATAGTGTATATATATGATCATGTAACATATGTTGAACTGGCTGAATTCGCAACTCGTTTACCCCCTAATCGACAGTCTCGCAAGGGGAAGTAAAAAACACTCGACAGCGCAACGAGTAAACCGGAGGTGAACCACACACCGTCTTTTTTACCAATTGCCAAACGTCAGTTTTGGAATGTGTGACGTTCACCAAACCTACTCAGTTGCTTCTGAAACAAATCTATCTTGGTTCAATTTGGTTCAGGCAGTCTCTTCTTCTGCGTCACACATACCTGCTCTACAGTAGAGCAGTGGACGGCCTTTGTTGTCGTTTATCAACAGTCCAGGGCCACAGCTGCAAGAATTCGTAAAGCCTTGCTACATGATGCACATGTGATTGGTTTCACATAAGGCTATAGAGAAAGGGGATGAACGAGGCCACAGGAACCTGGACATCTTCCATCAGAACATGGATGCATCTGTATTCTCCCTGGAACTCACATGGTTTCCATTTAGTTCACCCCCCTGATTGGCTGTGGAAGGTCATGGTCTTCCGAACGAGTTTGGGGCGCAAAGCCGGCTTGGTTTCTTGGTTTCCTGGTTTCGTGCATCAAAACAGACCCGAGCTACAAAGATCACATGGTGAGGTCTCCAGAGTTTTAGAGCAGGAACCCACGGGCGCCCGTGAATGGGGCATGCGCTGTGAATGGACAGCACTTTCAACTTCTAAGCCTAAGCCTTTTCAACCCGCCATGTCCATCTCATACTCTCTTCCTCTCCCATGGACTTCTTCACCAAAACGGGCGGCAGGCGGCCGACCAGAAAGTGACCAAGTAAGATGCTGAAACGGTGGAACCATAAATCAAGAAAAAGGTCCTTCCATGTAGGGGGTCATATTTGAATGGGTCGAGCCAAACCACCAGACTGGAACTCTGGGATTTGGCCGTCGAACTTCCAGAACCGGCCAGTTCGAATCTCCAGACCAGGGGTCACATGGAGGCCAGGGTAGTCTTGAGTCTCATCAGGCCGTGGATGTGACGCGACCGGGATCGTCCGGGCACCCTCCAAGTCTGGCACCCCGACATGGAGCTGGAAGGGGATTCACTTATGTTCGGAAAATGAAACCAAACATCCGATATGTCCAGAGTCCTGGACCAGCCGTGGTGTAAGTTCCACGCCGCCCCCCCCCGCCGCTTCTCCTGGAATTCTGAAAGGCCGCCCCAACGTCGACCCCTCAGCAGGATCTCATCGTCGAAGAGGTCCGTCTCCTGGACTTCGTCGAAGGGGTCCAAGAAGCGTCGACACCCATCGCCCCGGGCGGAGAGTCGGCGGAGAATTCATGTTAAACCGAACCCCCCCGCAGGGCGTCGGAACGCCGAAGTCCGGTGGAGGCGTACCTCCCTTTTGTTGCAGTAAGCCATCTCTTTCAGTGGCTTTTGGGTGGAGGCCATCGCTACTAGGTTTCCATATCTTCCAGTCCCATCTTTTGGACTGTCTGGCAGCTGGGTCCTCGGATCGGTTTTCGTCCGGAATCCCGGAGGACCGACCGCTCGAGAGAGCACGAGTGGAGTGAAGGGAAAAACAGCGTCAACTCCGTGGGATCGAGTTGAGCGTAAACTGGAAGGGTTTGTGATCGAATTGTCATCGAAACAGCTCAAATCCATGGGGAGAGATGCGGTGACTAGTCGAGCACTCCAGTCTTTTTCTCCTGAAAAGGTGATCGACTCCAAACATCACCACACCCGTTTAAATTGGAAGTTCTCATTTCTCGTCTGTGCGAAATGAACATCACTCCAAACACAGGTTCAGTAGTGATGACGCTCCAAACATCACCCCCCTGTTTCAACCCAAAGAATTATCATCACCAAACACATCCAAACCAGCACCCTCCAACAGGCTGTTTGAAATCCCTAACAGGTGGTTTCTGGGCACCTGTTGTCACCAGGAAACACCTGGCCAGGAGGGTTCAGGAACACGTTATCTTATCTTGTCTTCTTGACAAACAGGTGTCTGCTTTATTGATATTCTTTGCAGCTACACACAACTCCTCTACTCGACCTAACGTTTCCCTCACGCTGGTCCAATATGGTTTTCTGGACATCCTTTACAGAACAAGTGGTTGGGACTGGGAAAACATTTCTGGGACAGGGACTAGGTTTCAAGGTAGAGGGAAAGCGGGACTGCCAGACTCACCCAGATTCTCCTTGAGGAAGATTCGAAGTCCATTCTGGAGGATCACTTCCTGGAAAAAGTGCATCTGAACATGGGAAGACATGGCAAGACCAACCACTGCAATTTCATACATTTGTCCTAATGTAGAACTATGTAGAAATACTATCTATCATCAACACCCCATATATGAAAGGTTGTACCATCCAAATGTGGAGGGTTAACACCCGATTGAGCCCTTCTCTGGCAGTCTTTTGTGGGTGAGTCACACTAATCACAACTGGTGCAGCGTGACCAGTTGGCGAGGGGCGTCCTACCCTTGATACAACTGGCTATACGCCGCCCTCAGTCCTGAGCAGCTTGGATTAAATAGACCACTATGACACTATGATAGCTTTGAAGAAGGGCTCCGCTTTGCTCGCACGCACGAATATCCATCGAATAGAGAAAACGTTCAAAAGGTATAAGAGTAAAAGTAGAAAAAGAACGAAAAGAGTCTCCTCGCCGAAGGCTTCTTCGCTAACCTCCATGGAGCCTTCCTCCTTCCGTGATGGCTTTGGAACACCTTCTGCACGCACCTGACTCCGGAGTTTTAAGCCAACACCGAAGACTTCGGTTCTGATGTTGCAAAACAATTAAGTGTGTTACAAACAACCGGAATTTACCCCAAAAACATCAAGAATCCTGAACCTTGCGGCATCTTCACCCACTTGCCCTCGATGTTTCATCCTACAACCTCGTTCATGCCGCTTCCTCACTTTCTTCATCTTTCTTCCGAAACGGACTGGATCATCACACAGAATCATTTGACACAAGAAACCTTGATGTGGCTATGACTCGGATGCCATAGTGCCGTCCCCCCCCCAAAAAAAATAGATACAAACCGACACAAATCTGCGGGCGCCTGGGCCTAGATTTAAAACGGTTTCGAACCAATCCCGAGGGACCGGGCGTGAAAGGGGCTGTGAACGGAGCGGTGTGAACTCGCAGCGTCGACGTGGTGAGCTACCCAAAGACCGACCGACCCGACGACGATCTGAACATTAACCCTAAGAATCCGGGCCCGTTCCGCAACACACATAGGGTTTTAGGGGTTTAGATGGGTGAGAAGGGTCCGTCTGCCCCCTGCGTGACATCGGTGGAGAAGGCCCGACTTTTGGCACGGAGGGCACATGCGGATTCTTAGGGTATTCCAAAAAAAAGGTATGAGTATACCATCTTGTGCCCATGTTCTGAGGTACGAACAGGTCGACTCGCGTTGCTCGTGTTGTATCCTTGTACATCATGTAGAACTGTCTGCTTGTTCATCTATAAAACCAGCCAAAAGATGCCAAAAGGCAGATTGTTTGCAGTTGGAACATCATGGAAGATCTAAAAAATTAAGCCATGTCTTGGTTTCCAGCTTCGACTTCCTCGACTGTCCTCGCCTCTCGACCGCGGGAGGTTCCGGTGCGACTGGGAGGGAGCAGTTCCTCCGCGCAGCCCTCGAAGAGGTTTCGAAGACGTTCTTCCGGATCATCCGCATCAGGAGGCCATGCCTGCAAACGATTCGGGCGGCGAGGCTGGCGGTCTTTGGTGAGAAAAACCGACACAGAAGCGAGGTCTTGAGGCGTTCGTTTGACGGCGCCTTAACGAGAGTCTAGAGGCGTGATAGTCCGAGTGTCGACGGCTTGCGATGCTGTAGACTGTAGATACTTTACGGCGACTGGTAGGTGTTGCCATGAAGAGGTCACTGAAAGACCTGAATCTTCTCCGTTTCGGTCTGTTTTTGGACTTGGCGAAAGACCTTAGATTTTCGGTCGAGGCTTCGAGGCGAGGCCATCCCAAAATGGCATGTAACTATTCCATACCTGGATCTTCCAACTGTGCAACATTTCATGGCTGGTGTTATTGATGAAATGCAGAAATTCTGCACAGTTGGAAGATCTAGGCATACATGGATCCATGTTTATAGGAACTAAACTAGCAAAAAATGCCATCTGCTAGCTTCTTCAGTACGTGGTCGAACTTTGGTAGACCGACCGATGAAGTTCGGTGTGGAACGAGGCGGTCTATCCATTCAGGGTTGACTTCTGTGCCTGCAGACTGGTCTGCAGACCGGAATGGGTAGCGCTGCTTCGATCGTCCTCCAAATTCCAAAATCCTGCTTTCTCTCGAAAGCCTCCATCTGCTCGGAAGTCACACTCTTCATGATCTGTGCCACCTCCTCCTCAAAAGGCAATTCACCGACCAAGCGATGGGGTTCCGAACAAAACGGCCAACCGCGATCTGTGCAACTCCGAGAGATGTGGAGATGGATGGATCTGCCAAGTGTTTGCTAGAAATAGTGTTCAAGCTTCATCGGATGAACATGCGCGTCAATCCATGAAAGCTCTGTGCAAGCGGTCGAATACACTAGCTGTATTGTGTCTACCGTCTACCTCTAAAATCTTGGTCACTCCCCAAGTCCTCATGATTGAAGCAAACATCTCAATCCCGCTGGCTAGTAGGGGGAATCCTCAGTGGCAACCCACTTACAGCATCTGAATCTGGCAGTCCTCCCCTGGCAAATCCAGGGATGGTCTTGGCAAGCTCATTTGTCTACAGGCCTCTCTGTGGCGCGACGAGTGAATCCTTCGAATCCGCTCGGAGATCGTCTGATTTTGGGGCAAGACGGATTTGGAGACGTCGGATGGGCACGTCGGATGGCACGTTGGACTGGACTTCACAGCCAGCTTCCACCAAATCAATACCAAACACTTTGATACATCGGTGCACCCCATTTTCTCACCATCCCAACATGACGCTCGCTTTCCATCGCGCGAGCGGCGGACATCGCCTGCATGACGCTCCAACAGGTGTAAGCTGGACTTCGGACCGACATCAGCGGAGTGGCCTTGGGAAGGAAGGCCGTCGCCAGCCGGAAGAACCGAATCGCGTTGAAAACATGTGGCGAGACATCTAAAACCCTAGAAGTGCAGTTCGACTATCTTTGGCCCCACTGAAATCAAGTCTTCTGCAAATTCCTGGAGAATCGGGGCACCTCACAGAGCCGAGATTGGGGGCGTCAGAGCGGGGATGAGCAGGGAAGACACAGCACGCACGGCCTTCTGAAACAGAAGAAATACCAGTTGGGAGCACCACGGAGTGAAGTGGTGGTTTTGTTTGACACCGGAGGAAACGATGTGGATGATTGTGGATGTGTGTTCTCCATCGCAGGGCCGTGCAGGGGTGAACAAATGGAGATCCAGTGCAGGGCCGTGCAGGGCCGTGCAGGGGTGACCCATGAGTGACCCCATAAGGAAGGTGCTGGCATTTTCCATCTAATCACCACCCAAACTGGGTGGTGCATGGTTCATATTGACTTGCAAAATCCACTGGGAGGACAGAAGGGCCCCTGGTTATGCTTGAGAATGACATGGGGGCTGGGAGAGTTTTCCTTTGAACATGTTGGGACTTAAGTAGCCGTGTGGCCTTTCGCAAGAGCCTCTCCGGGCCCAGGTTTCGATGGTAGAGAAAGGCAGGACAACAGCAGTCCATGAAATACATCGGGTCAGAATTGTCGGGTTTACTTCAAGACCCCAGGACCATCCAGACCCTGCTTGATCCCAGATTTGGGTGACTCGGTGACCCAACTTGATCCCCTTGGTCTGGTCACAGCCTGGTTGGGTCACCGATTTTTCAAAGTTCGGTCACGGGTTTGGCTGGCGAATGGATTAATTACACCTGACCCTGTCATCACATGTCATCACACCTGACCCTGTGCTTTCTTTCGAAGACTCCATGTGCAAACACCTGTTTCACCCAACCTCTTCGGTTCACCGCTCACCTCTTCGGTCGACCGATGACCCCGGTTGTTTTTTCACACCGGGTCCCCGGCGTGACCAACACCCGCGACTCGCGACCGTGTGAAGTGGTGGCTCGACAAAATGGGTCTGGCACCCGGTGAACAGGCGTCCCAGTGGCGATTTTCACCACCACGTTCTTGGTGAAATCGTAGAGCTTCGCCACGCTGGAGACCTGCGAGTTATAAACCCCCCGTATGAAGAGCATGTCCAATATAAAACTGGGAGCCGTTTGATCTGTGAACAGGGGACAGTCGACGTGGATGCGTCTGTGTCTGCGAGTGTGCGCATTCCAATGGGATCGGTTTATTAATGAGTCCACATGAACAGCTGCGACCGGTCGCGCCGGCGAAGGTCCTCAAAGGCTAAGCTGTTCGACGTGGTGGGGCGAAGGTCGTGGGTACCCACCGTCGGGGTCCAAACCCGGAACCCGTTTTCTGCAAGACGGTACCATCTATCGACCACCGGAAGGGGGACGGAGCTTAGTTCAGCTGAAATCAAGAACCCATGTGCATGTGTTCAGTCTTTAAGGGAGACACACTGGCTTGAAGGCAAGACGGGTTGTTTATGGTTGTTTCAGGCTTCGTTCTTCTTCCCGTTTTCAGATGCGGGCTGAAAATCTTTCGCAAGCAAGCTGACAGGACAATGGGTTAAAACATGAAGATCATGAACCGAAGTCCTGCACTACGGCGCCACGGCTTTCAGGGACGAACAACAATGTTCATGATCACTGCCCCTCCACCGGTTGGTTCCCGATGAACACCGACTTAAATGATGCTCACCCGCCCAGTGTGACTATACACAAACACTCCATGTCTGGCATAGTTGCCTACATCAGGGGTCAATGTAGGTATATATCATATATATTCCATACATGGAGTGTCTCGGATATTACAACAGGTTAACCCAACTTTTTAATGGTCCATGTCGAAGCGAAGGTCAAGGATTTTGGGCCCATCATCCGTCCCTGCCACCCGTCGCCCCATCTTTTCCTCGCCTCATCAGGGCTGATGCCTGGCAATAAGTGCGCCGCTAAGCGTGCACGTTCGACAACACCTGGAGCACAGTCCTGGTGATGCGGCACAACTCATCCCACTTGGTCACTTGGATGTTCTGAATTCAGGGAAAAAGGATGAAAAAGGTATAGACTGCCTGAAGGGGATTCACGATTTTTTTTTAAGACACACTACCCAGGACCCAGGTCACATGAAACTCATTAAAAGGAAAACACGTTGCTCTATCTCTATTGTAATAAGCTGGGCAATAATCGATGTATATATCATTTAATTATGCCAACCAATACACAAACAGAACACAGATCCCTGCTACCCCAGGGGGTGGGGGGGTCGGACCCCCAACAGAAAATGGATTATCCATTTTTGACCCTGATGATGCATTAGCAACGGTCTAGATCCAGTGATATTCAGTGTCGTCCATAGCACCAGCCTGCACTTACCCAACCTGTTTTGCACTTTCTGCATCATATTTTGCATCGTTTGGGTTGTGTTTTTGATCTTTTGGCGTCATCTTTTTGGTCTCTTTTGGGCTGCGTCCTGTTTCTGGTCGAGAACAAAAAAAGCATTGGATAGGGGTCCAGGTATCTGGTATTTCGAAGTGCAAAACAAGCGAGCGTTGGGTTGTATATCTTGTTACATCGAGCGTTAAATCAAAGAAGCAGACCTTGATTTACATTGCGTGGACGCGTTGCCTAATACACTGCATGGACGCGTTGCTTACGCCCGCGGGGCGTAAGCGATGCGGACCCTCAGGGAGCTCCGAGCAGTGGGACCGCGTTGCCGTCCAAAAGGTCGCGTTGCTTACGCCCGCGGGGCGTAAGCGATGCTCCTTGTTTTTTCGGATTTTTGGCTACATTCAAAGCAAGACCATCATATTCAATCATGCCAGCATGGTCAAGTGAATTCAGGCGGTTCACACGATCTTGACACTTTTTTTTCTTTCCCTGTGTCTTAATCTACTGCCCAAGCGGAAAGCCATCAAAAGTCTTGAATCTGGTGGGCACCCTGGCATCTCCATGCTCAGACTTGTATTCAGTGAGCTTGCTGAAGCCTCTTTCCCATCGCTTGTCAAAATTTCTCGGGGCCACGCGGAGATAAAACTGGAAACATGTTGGCTGTGTAAATGGAATATTAAAATGGAATTCCTAAAGGTACCCCCCCCTCGATCCTCCATTTTCGAGGAGGGGGGATGAACACAGCAGTCCTCGTCCAAGAAGAGTGATGTGAATTCCTCTGCAAAGCTCTCAGAGGGCCGTTGCTCCCGCTCAATGTAGTCCTGGTCGCCCGAAGACAGAGTTTTGATACTTGGATATACCGATACCTAGATCTTCCAACTGTGCAGAGTTTCTTCATTTCATCAGTTTTCAACCAGCCATTTCTAGGCAGAAATGTTGCACAGTTGGAAGATCCAGGTCTACCTGCGAGAAAATATCAACACATGCGAAGGGGATTGACCTGTAGGGAGAAGATACCAAATCATCATGATACGCATTGATACGCCAAACACCAGGATTTCATGTCCTTGGCAACTCAAACAAACCCGACTCTGGACGCCGACCGACGGGTCTGGTACCTGTCGGCTGGGGGGGTTCGTTCGTTGGGAAGCGTCATGAATCGCAAAGTGGTCAGGCTGAGAAGTGAAGAGCCTTTGTTCCTACCTAGTAGCTTGCTACTAGTCATGCCAGCGCCCCTAGCGATGCCCCTGCTATTAGTGGTGAGGATGCCTCCTAAATCTGAAAAGAGGAAACCCTGCCAGAGACCGTGTATTAATAGGTTGTACCCCCAAATGCTGGGGATCATCTCTGAGTCTCTGGTGCGGAAAGCTAAACTCACATGTGACATGAATTGGTGGCAGAACCATTCTGAAGCCTGTGCAGAGTTGCGTCCCTGAAAGCCTAGGAAACTAGACCCAAAAGGAACCTCTCCACTAACGTCTCCATATTTAAACTATTCTGCAAACCCCCCCTTTGGGGGGATTTGACCTTCGGCACCCAGGGTCGGCCCGCCTCCTCGAATTCGGCCAGCATGGCGCGCTGCGCCCGGCGCACTTCGGCACGGTGGAAGCCGAAGCGCCGGAGCCGTTCCAATTCCCTTCACGGCGGCGGGAACCATTCCCAGATCCAGCGGGATGGGGATTGGAACCGTTCATACATGCGTGGGACGTGGGACTGGACGTGGGTGATAAAAAAAACTCAGATCTGTACGGGCTTCATGGGATTTAACGTGAGACAAACTGAAGCAAAGCTTCGACCTTGCGGAGCAAGACCGAAGCGAGCAAGTACCGCGAGTGGTCGCAGCGGAGAAGATTCTCGGGGGGAGTCTTCTGAGTCTTCTGTTGGGAGTACTGAAGAGAAAATGGGACATGGGCCGAACAAGAAACAGGTATACGACTGTGCCGGGCGAGGGATCGAAAAATGAATCAAACAAATAGCAAACTTCAGGGGATCAAGAAAAACAAAAATGAATAACAATAAAAACGGACCCAAACGTGCAGAGGGAAGAGCACATTCGAAGCAGTGATCGAAAAAAACAAAATATATAGTAATAAACACATCAAAAAAACTAACAGGAAATGACATGAAATGAAATGAACATGTACATGAAATGAAATGAAAATGAAACAAAGAAGGTCCAAAGAAAAAATGAATGAATGAACGAAATGAGTGAAATGAATTGAAACTGAAATAGAAAATGACATTAGATATATAAAATGAAAATGAAAAGAAAAGAAAAGAAATGAAATGAAAAAACAATGAATAAATGACGGAATGAATGAATGAATGAATGAATGAATGAAAGAATGAACGCATGAATGAATGAATGAATGAACGAACGAATGAATTAATTAATGAAAGAATGAGTGAGTGAGTGAGTGAGTGAGTGAATGGTTGAGAGAATGAATGTATGTATTGAATTGAACTGGTTTGAATTGAATTGAATTGAGCTGAATGAGGGAAGGAAGGAAGGAACAAAAGAAAGATAAAGAAAGTATACAAATAAGAATAGACAAGTGAACAATAAAACCAATATATAGTTGAGCAAAAAAGGACTGGCTAGTCCAGAAAGCTATACCCGAAACTATTTCTACGCTCACACAGTAAAAGCGGGAGGGGGCGCAGGGGAGGGCGCAGCGCCTCCCCCGCAATGTAACTTGGCACGACCAAAAAACAAACATCATGGAGTTTCCCCAATGAATCTTCTTTTGGTAACTGCAATGGTCTCTTCGCTGGGCATCTGGGCAACGTTTTGCAACATCGCATTTCAATTTCACAGTGGAGACCACAATGGTCAGGCTCTGGCTCTCTCATTTGTTGGTCGGTCACTGGGAAGAAAGCGCCCTTCCTTCGTTCCTTCCTTCTTTCGTTCCTTCCTTCCTTCCTTCGTTTATTTCAATGTTTTTTTGTTGATGCATTTTTGCATTGTTTTGATACATGTCTATATATTTTTGATGTTTTTGTATTTGTTTGATGCGTCTCCCGACTGTGCCCATGTTTAGGAGCACTTTGAGGGTCCAGGTTTTTCAACTCCTCTTGAGGTATCCCAAACACTGGGATGACCCCTACCACCCCAGGTGATCAGTACTCTCCCACCCACTAACATGGAAGCCCTACTGAAATAATGGAGTTGGTCATACAAACACATCAATTACTCAATGAGGCAACCATGACAAGGCACTGTTCGATCATTCGACCCAGTAAGCAAACTGCCATCCACCGCAGTCGAGCGGATCCCTGCAGGTCCAGGTCCAACTTCACCCAAAGAGTAGATTTTGAGTCGTGCTTTTTTTTGTATGACCAACTCCAGACCCAGTAAAACATGGTGGGTCCTTTACCTCATGCTTCGTACTGTTTCTGGATGTTTCCTGTATGACCTGTGTTTCACCTGTTTTTTCACGGTCGGTCATAGTACTGACGGGATGTGAAGATTCACTGTCTGATGCGTCCATCGGGCCAGGCCATCCAAGTCAGATGGCCAGGACCATCCGCTGGACATACCTGGAGTCGACCCATTCGTACCTCGGAAAATGAGTCCAAGATAGTCCAAGTACTCGTTTTCATAGGGGCATGTCCCGCATGTCCCATTTTCTATATGCTTGAAGTCGAATCCAGGTACTTTGAAAAGACCATCCTCAGTTCCATCATGCATTTCGGGGGCAGCCGTACCAGCGTTTTTCAAAGGAACGACCAGCACCTGCGGCCCAATCCGCCCTCTTGCGCCTGAGCATGCTGCGAAGCGCTGGGCGCACTCGTCCCGGGAGCGGTGCCAAGCTTGCACATAGGTTATTCCTTGGCCGAAAACCAGATGAACACATGCCGCGGACGCAAAAACCCTCCAAACTCAGACTCAGATCTGCCAGGAGTCTCAGTTTGTACCTCAGAAAATGAGTACAAGCACCTGCTGTTCTAGAAGTCATGTCCCATTTTCTAAGTCGGCTCCTGGGTCAGCCGGGTCTGGTGCACTGGCCCTCCTTTCTCCCAAGCGACAGCGCGGGGAGCGGATCCGAGGACTCCGTGGCGGCCGAGAAGAAGTCCCTTGCGCCACCTACGGACGCGCCGTGCCCCCGCGGAGCGGCGCCGTTGGGATGGGTTGGTCCGGATGGGTTTGGGGGGGGAGATACCAGCAGTTCGGAGTTGGCTGCGCGCTCCATGGCGTCGACATGTCAATGTGACTCCTGGTAGGTTGCGTTCTGACATTGAATCTGACAGATATTATCTTACTGACCAACGGGTTTGCCTTCCTGGCTGCTTCTTTGCTGTCTTCTAACGGGTCCGCGAAGCATCCCTTTGCTTCGTGGCTTTGGTCAATACGAAGCCTTGAGACTAAACCGAACCTCCTGGTTCGAGGAACGTCGGAGTGCGCCACTCAGAGCATCCGTCACTTGATGAGACCCATCAAACCCACCCAGGTCCGTGGACTCCGACAGCGGAGTGTCCAGTCGTACCGATGAATGTGAGACCAACACACTTGCTCATGTCGCCGATGGAGTTGCTCTATAGTCGTACCTTCCCCGGAGCACCGGGACCCACTGGAGGTGGCGCAACACGACCACGTCGTCTCGGGCACCTTCCAAGGGCCCCTGCAGCGTCAAGCGCAGCAGTCGGCTGCTTAAGGCGCGATGGAACAGGTCCTCTGTCATGCGACGCCGCACATCTCGCACCGTCTTCGCCGGAAGACCTGGGTTTGGCGCCGGGCCGCGGCAACCGGGGGCTAGCACCATCAGTCAGAGTAGGCGGAACTTGATAGGAGTTGTATGAAATTTTGTGGATATAGTGAGCCCCAAAAACGAGACGTTGTATTTACGGCACGGGGCCACACTGCACTGTGGGATCAAAGCCAGCTGACCCCCGACGACGTACTGTTTTCATATAATTCGAAACGTTTCTCCCCATGGGCACAAGGAGGACAGGTCGGTCCATGTCACTGACAGTGTGGCGAATGATTTCGACCAATGGACCACAGTGCCGGCAATGAACAAGAGTTTTGCTGGGCCAAGTGGCATCAGGTGCTCCAATGTTTGAAACCGGTCTACTCTTTGTCAAGGCCCCCCTAGTCCAAAGGGCATTTCTACTAGGAGCAAAGACGCTACTTGTAGCGGCATTTTTGACTCCTACATACTCCTATACCAACCCCAAGGCTCATCCCAGTACATCCCACTGCGCAGAGGAGAGCAGAACAGCAACGACCGCACGTAAGAAACCGCAGATCTTTCGCAAGGACCGCAACATCAAGATGACTTCCCACCTTTCAAGAGCATTCTCCCACTTCCAAAACCTGGCACCGGCACCTTCACACCGCCCAGGGACGGGGGCGCTTGCAGTCCACCATGCTTTGTGCAAAGCTGAGTTCAGGATCAGTGCTGCTCGCCACACGCACACCCTCAGAGTCCGGCACCGCATACCTGGCAGAGAGCTCGACGAGCACACGTGGCGAGCACGACTCGAGGCGACTCGCATCAACCACCAAGGTGGAACGGCAGAACATCGCACGGCAGTGGGTTCAAAGCATCCCTTTTTAGGGGTTGCCTGCTACCTTCAGGCTGTGTCTCCACACATCAGCTAACCGATAGGATCTGTGGATTTTAAGGCTTACGCCTGACAGCCGGGCGCCGACACAGGGCAAAAGTAGGACGGTAGAGGGGATAGAGGCAAAAGACATGAGGCGACGGGGGCCGGGACGTCGGGCATCCCGGCAACATCCTTCAAAGTGGAAGGGGGCTGACCGCCCGGGTGTATGTAAGAGACACCGAGGGTCGGGAGAGCCGTCGCTCTCTCTCTCTCTCTTTCTCGTTGGCTTGCTTAGGGTCTCTTTCCCTCCATGTCTTTCTCCCTCTCTTTCCCTCTCTCTCTCTCTCTTTCGCCTTTTGTTTCTGTCGCTCTCTCTCCGTCTGTTTCTCTGTTCTTTCTTTCTTTCTTTCTTTCTGTCTGTCTGTCTGTCCGTCCGTCCGTCCGTCCGTCGGTCTGTCCGTCGGTCTGTCTGTCTGTCTGTCCGCCCGTCCGTCCCTGTCTGTCTGTCCCTCTCTGTCTCTGTCTCTCTCTCTCTCTCTCTCTCTTTTTCTCTGTCTCTCTCTCTCTCTCTCTCTCTCTCCCTCTCTCTTTCTCTTTTTCTCTCTCTCCCTCTCTCTCTCTCTCTCTTCGAAACTGTGTGGGGCCTATGTGGCCACATCTGAAGCTATCTTATCCCATTTAGGGGCTACTCTGTCCCTCTCTGTCTCTGTATCTGTCTCTGTGTCTCTCTGTCTCTCTCTCTCTCTCTCTTTGAAACTGTATAGGGATCTGGAACCTATGTTGGGTCCTCTGGCAGGTCATCTTGGAGGACATTTGCCGCCATTGATGTTGGAGCGCGCCCGACACCCACGAAATGACGATGAATCCTGTCCGCGCGGCGCGCATTACCGACACCACCCTTGAAAAACACAGCATTTTTGCATGTCTCCTTCTTCGCCGCGTCGCATTTTCCACGCGTACAAAACCCCGTGAAACACAGTGTTTTTTGCACCTCACACACACACACACGAAACACTCTAAAACACCGTTTTCGGAGGTGGGTCGGGGGTGAACCCGAGGTGAACCGGGGGTGGTCGGCGGCAGGGGGGCGTCGCTCCTTAACCTTCGGTTACACCGAAGGCCCTCCGGGCGCAACGCGAGCTGGCCCAGCGGCTGCCCGGATTTTCGTTTGGACATCCATAGGGTGCCGCACCACATCCTGGAATACACTCCAACCCCAAACTCGGAAGTGGAAGTCTCATGATTTTCCCACCCCTCCCCCCGCCTGGGTCGTCCAGGCGCCTCGCTCTGCCGGGGTAACGGGTCGATCTCGCTGGGCGCGAGGTCGAAGAGTTCCTCGGCGGGACGCGGGACGGTCACGGAGAAGACCCCGGTAGAAAAATCGAGGATTTTGGGGGATCAAAGAGCAAATCAATTTCAGTCTTCATGATTTGAGAAACCAAACCATGAAGTCTTCATGGTGCAAAATCAGGACAGTATATACAATATATAGTCAAATCTAGCCTGCAACATGGCATTCAGATGCATTAAGCCTGTCTTGTTGCCTTGATCTTCTGCTGGACCATCTCCTCGTCAAAGTCGCCGACCGCGATGATCGCCATCTGTGCCGGATGGTAAAACCTGCGCCGCAGCAGCACGCGGCCCGACCCCACAGGGGACAGTCCGCCCGACCGAATTGAATCCAATGGACTGATGAATGACTAGCCATGCCCTATGACTAGTCCGTCCAAAAAAACAAATACTTCCAATACTTCTAGAGTCCAGAACAAACACCGCGTATGGAATTCTAGTTGTGTGCCTGGCCGGCTGCTTCTCCAAGGGCCGAACATACTGTAAAACAATTCCATGACAATGTAGCAAACACGAAAAACCAAAAAAGCGCACAGTTCAATGTAACAACACGAGTCACGAAGTCAGATGTCAAAAGCTATGAGGTCGCTGTGCGGATGTGTGCGGTGGCGGGGATTGGTCATGGTTCTTAGACACGTTCGTGAGACCTTTTGTCTGGGTGTCACTGGGTGTCTGATGTTTCCTGGAATTGGTGTCCGTAGGAGGCCTGAACTTGACAGAATGTAGAATGAGAGTTTCGCTACTTGAAGAGAAGAACATATTGTCGCCGTTTAGCAGCAGCCCCATTTCAAGAACCAATCGGATATGGACCTCCCCAAATTAAGACGAAGGACAAGAACGTGAACAAAAGTGTAAAAAAAGACAACACATGCACAAGGAAACAGCAAGCAGAAAACTGCGAGCAAAAGCCCTGAAGATTACTGAAGACATTGTTGTCTTAAGAGTATCCAGTGATCGAGTTTACACAAACTGTCGTTTCATCTGCACGACATGCTTTCAAACCTCCGGCATCGACTAGGCATAAGCAGTGTGGCATCGTGTGCAAGACCAGCCGTTCCATCTTCACACTAGGTGATGATGCAATTATGTGTGTAGCCATGAATAAGTGTGACGGTGTGACGCCTGCATTGTAAATGCATAAAACACCATAAAACCAACCCCAAAAATGATTGAACATACAAAATTGCACTAACATGCACTGAAGCTCGCCCCGTGGCCCTGAAGGAAACTGCAAAACTAGTGTAAAAATATGCGCAAAAATGCTAAACAAAAGCAAGGAACACCACGGCCGTCTATGCACCCTGGTCCCTACTCATCCATCAATTTGTACACTCCGAGAAACGCTTCACGTATGATTACGTCGGTGTTTTGAGGATTATTTTGAGATATTTTGATATATAATATAAATGTGAGTCAACTGTATACAATCCTTCAGAACGTAGAAACCAAACACATCCAAAACCCCATTGCGTCGGAGGCACTTCTGATAAAACTTTCGAAGAGTCTCTGCGGAGACGCCACGAATGACCTCTTCTTTCCTGAGTTTTGGCCATTGTGGAAAGTCTAATCAGCACATATCAGCACAAACTAAAACCTGGTTGGGGGTTGAAAAAAGGTGCAACTGAGAAAGGGGTCACTAGTCATTACCCTTCAGGTTACCTTCAGCAGCCTGTTCATTGGTGTTGCAACACACACATCAGACCAAATCACCAGGCCAAACCAACCCACTTCTTCGAATGCATTCAGAAATGTTCGTCTGACCACGAGAACGGACTAGAACTCGATTGACCAAAAAGAGGTCAGGTGGCCCAATGGGTAAGCGCTCGCACCAACGACAGCCAGCTCCACAAAGCGCCTCTATCTTGCAGATCTGATGGGTTTGAACATCAGGAGAGATCCACAAAGCATTGGGGCATATTGGGGCAAAAGGATGTTCATGTTCTGTAACTGTAGACATGATTAGACATGCTGAAAAAGGAACCAACATGAATCACGTAGTATATGATCAACTATAGCCATTTTATATATTTTATGCGATTGAACTGCATATGCTGACATACTTATATATAGGGCGATTCACATTCAATCACCATGCCCCAAAATTGGTCCCACCCGAGACGGTCCTGGATGTAACGCTCGCTGAGACGGCCCTGCGCATTGCGGCTTTCGCGCCACTCCTGCTGTTGGCGGCCAATTTCGTGTGGACGGGTTGCACGGGTTTCTTCAGCTGTCTTGGCGCGTTTGGATCCAAGTTCTTCCGAACTGTATCCCCGAGCTTGAGATCATTGGGGATCACTTGGGGACTCCAAAAAGGTCACTGCGAAGAAGCTGTCTTTTCCCCTAAGCAGTTTACTACTGTTACGAGGTTCTCTGTTAGAGAGAAACGGCAGCTGGCAGCTGGCCGCAGTCTCTGACCCAAACAGCTTAGTATGGTCGGCAAGACTTGAATCAAAAGGAATTGGGCCGCTTCCACTTTCCGCCTTCCATGAAAGACATGGAACGAAGCTGCCCGACCGAACCCGACCCGAAACCGTCGTGGACCCGAAAAGGTCCGTGCCGGCCGGCGAAGACGAAGAGAGGCCACCCCAGTCGGATTCGAGAAGGAGCGCGGGTCAATCTACCGGCCCTGGCCTGATCGTTTCCCACTGAGAAGTGGTTGATTGACCCGATTCTAGAAGGTGATGGGATCATGGGATGTGTCCATGTCCACTCCCTGAGGAGGAGTCAAGACTGGCAGTCCCAAACAGGTCGTGGTCGTGGTCGTCGTACGTCGTCGTATGTCGTTGTGTCTGGGATGTGTCCAGATGTCAAAGGAGAGGCTCCGCAACTTGAGCTTTTGCAGTTGTTGGTCATGTCAATTTCCCTGAAAGCCCAAGACCATCAAAAAGAATCATGGACCTGGTGATTATATAGTGAAAAAATTTTAGAACAAACAGCTCAGTGGTTCGGGATTCAAACCATTGTGTTCATCATAGGCCAGGAATCCTAAGGAAATGGCGCTGAAAAAGGGCGGTCGAAGTCTCAAGCCGTCTCTCTTTTTATCGTCTTTTGATATTCGCCTCTTGATTTGGACATCGACTTCGTAGAATCCACGAGACGTCGTACCTCGTCCAATGAGTATCCAAACACTACTGGCGTCCAATGAGTAGCAACAAGAAAAAGAAGAAGATGAAGAAGCTAAGAAGGATAAGATTAAGAAGAAAAAACCAAGAACAACCCACAGGCCCCATGAGTCGTGGTCCTCCTAAAACGTACAGGATCGATGATGAATCCTCAAACCTCGATCGATCAATCGGTCCCTGGAGTCCTCAAGGACCACTTTACGCTCTTTGTCGAGATCTTCCTCTGAGATTCGCGTGAAGTACGCAAACTCCCGCAGGACTTTCCTCGATCGATCGGCGATGTCGTGCGCGTACTTTCGAAGGCTGAAACAATTCTCTAGAAGTCGCGGGAGCTGGCAATTGTTTTACTTGTTTTACATACCTAGACCCTCCAATGTACCCAAGAAAATGGGACATGGTGACATGACCCTAGAAGAACAGGTGCTTGATGGTGCTTGTACTCATTTTCTGAGGTACGAACTGAGACTCCGGTATGTGTTCTTTCTTTAAACAAAAACGAGGTGTTGGAGGTCTGACCAAAGAGTGGGCGTGAAAGTCGAGTGTCCCTATGAGTACACCGGTTTACCTAGTCCCAACCAGAAACAAATGGTTGTTCCAATACCCAAACACTCCATGTATTGCTTATTAAGTTGTACATAAATTATGGTGGTTTCAGGGGTCAATGTATATAGGCATATATTTAATGGCATATTCATATGTATCATACATGGAGTGTCTGGGATATGTTTCTTTCTCGTTGGGACATGTTGGGACTGGGTTTCCAGGACCAAATGTCACAGACCAACAAGTAGAGGGGCGGACGACGGCGCAGGAGCGTTGTCAGAATGAACGGCCTCGCAAACCAACAGTTTGTTGATTGCTTCGGGTCTGAAGTACTGGAGCACATTTGAGGCATGTATTAAAGTCCATAATATGCCCTCGCAAACTTGTGCTTGAACTTCCCAGTGGTGCAGACATTGCCTCCGCTTTGCTGCAAAATGTGTCCAAGCTTTTGCGCAGGAAAACCTTTGAGCTGCAGGTTTCAAAGGAAAGATGGGGCGGGGATCATTTGTGACACATGACTGGACACTCTGACTGGACGTGAGTTCACGTGCGTGTGAGGATTGCACACTATAGAAGAAATGAAAAATTGAAAACAACTTACAGAAACAACCAACTCCAGTCCAAGTTAGGACCAAAAAAAAAGGTTTTCAGGCAAGCTTCAACGATTCTTCCACCAAGCCTTCCTTGTCAGTTGGCACATGAAGCGTGTACCTTAGCTCTTCGCATCTCAGGTCGCCCTTGAACTCGGCTAGAACTCGAAAAAAGATGCCTGAAAAAATACTCATTCCGAGACGCACAGTACAGTCAAAACTGGTATACGCATTTTGGCATGCACCGAAGGGTGCACCAATGGATTCCAAGAACTTCACAATGGCATGGTTCTCGTAGGCTTTGGTGGCCGAGAACCTGCAAAGGGGCAATTTCAGGGGCGGAAGCAGAAGCATGGAAGTGGAGAGAAAACCACTGTTTTTAAGTAGAGGTAGTTCTCCCTGGAACCCCCATCAGGGGCAAAAATGGACAAATGTGTGTCGCAGTTTTTTTTGTATTGGTTTTTTAGAGCACAGTATAGAAATGTATGGAAACATCAACATTCCCCTGGACCCAAAAGGCTTTGGAATTACGCGGTATGAGAGCCATTCACTTCACTCCGTATGCAGGTCGTTGCCTTCCAATTTGGATCCATGATAAGGAAAAGGGGTATGCTGTGCATATGGTTTCTGCTCACAAGTGGAGCAGAAACCAGAAGTTTTAAGCCTGTGGAATCAAACCTGTAGGATCTTCAGGCCGTTGACACCGTTGAGACATACAGGTCCAGTCTGACCCAGGCCCAAACCGGGTCTTTTACCCACTTAAGTATTGATGTAATGTTTTGTATGACCATCTCCGGTAAAATAAGCTCAAACTAACTTGTAGGATGAGAATACATGGTTACGACACCCGTGAGTACCCCCGTCAAGAAGACGCTTCGTCTCTGAGACTTGTTTGAGTCGGGTATTGAAACTGTAAAAGGTTAACCAACCAACTGGCCAACCCAATGAGCAACAAGGAAGTTGCAACTGACCAACCACCTGGCCAACTGTTGATAATTGTTTATTGGATTACAGTACTATGGATTACTCCTCTCTGGCCAACCAGCCATATCCTCTCAAGTGCGTGTTCCGTTTCAGCCGAAGCTTGATGAGTTCTATCTGAGGCAGACATACCCTCCTCCTCTCCGACAGACTTTATCCACAAGTGAAGAAGTACAGTCGAAACAAACATGATTTGACAGCTCTTTCGATCGCACCATGAATTCATTTGTGTGTGTGTCAACCCCTGTACCTAAGGGTTCCACCTCACCGTTTGCTATTTGATGTTTTTTTCAGCAGGGGCGTCAGGCTCGATACACCTACCTGACGCAACGAAGCTCTGGTGTATCAAGGGATGGGTGGACTGATCATCCACCTGTACCTGCTTCAACGGTTGAGCAAGCTGTTCCAATCCTCCTTTTTTGATTCCATGGTGGTTCATGATACTTCCCACAAACCATTTTCCTTCCGCCGCTTTCAGCTGCTGCGCATTCGTGAACTGCAGACAAGTGAACAATTTGTTAAACATTTCAGTTGCGCTGACCTTTTCACCTTGTGTTTCCCTCACCTTCCTTCTCAGCTTGGGAATTGAGCTAACTGAAAACCAATATCATTGTGTGAATCGCTCAGCCGTCCCACTTGGGTGCTGGGTGTGATCCTCCGCAAGGAGGCGCCGTTCTCATTCCAGAATGCGTGTAACTGATTCTTCGTTTCCACCATTCTTTGGATTTTCTTAACTGACTTCTTTTCACCAAGGGATTAACTGCTCCAATAGCCGCCGGCTTATACGGAGAATGAACCCAAACGCGGTTTCTACCCCAAACACCCCAACCCCTCCCACCCACTAATTAGGGTAACAGAGGGAAATGGTACTCGGCACACTTGTGTGTCGGTGCCTTTCCCTCTGTTATCCCTTTTCTAGTCTTCTCTACCCGGGCGGTCTAAGACTAAAGTCCCGCTCCCTAACTATTGCATTTAATTCACTTCCGCTAAGTAATCAGTAATTCTAGAGTGCTAAGTATTCATACACACACACGGACACACACATGTACATACACCTCCCTGCCCCCCCACTTTCCTTCTTGCGCTTTTGGTCGTTTCTTGGGCTTTCCCTCAGGCTTTTTAGGTTGCTCTTAAGGCTCGTTTCCCTACCCCAGTCAAGGGCTAAGTACTCACTTTTCTCTACTCCTACCTTTCTCTCTTGCCCTCTTAGCGCTGCTCTTTCTGTGTTTCTTTCTTTTGTTTCTAAGGCTTTTTAGGTACCTATTCAGGTCGTTCGCACGAGCGCCGCAAAGCGGCACCGTGTGTGTGTCAACCCCTGTACCTAAGGGTTCCACCTCACCGTTTGCTATTTGATGTTTTTTCAGCAGGGGCGTCAGGCTCGATACACCTACCTGACGCAACGAAGCTCTGGTGTATCGAGGGATGGGTGGACTGATCATCCACCTGTACCTGCTTCAACGGTTGAGCAAGCTGTTCCAATCCTCCTTTTTTGATTCCATGGTGGTTCATGATACTTCCCACAAACCATTTTCCTTCCGCCGCTTTCAGCTGCTGCGCGTTCGTGAACTGCAGACAAGTGAACAATTTGTTAAACATGTCAGTTGCGCTGACCTTTTCACCTTGCGTTTCCCTCACCTTCCTTCTCAGCTTGGGAATTGAGCTAACTGAAAACCAATGTCAGAGTGTGTGTGTTCGTCCTAGTTATTCACACGGCGCTCCTTGGCCATGCACCTGGAATTTCATCAAAGCTCCTAGGTGTGCACCTAGCTTGGGCCCCCATGGATTAAGCTGGTCTGTTTACTCTGGTGTGGTGTGCATATCTTGCGTATTTTGTGTCTTTAGTACATACCTGCCCTTGAGGACCCCACAAAGATGGAAGGGCTGGGAGGGGGGTGACATGGATGTGTGGGTAGAGGAAAACGATCTTTCAAGAGGCCATCTTGGGCCTACTACCGGCAACCGTGGATGATGATGGTTAGTAAAGGCCTTGTTCAATAATAGTAATTCTTTACTGGCTGTTGCAGGTAAGTTCGGACAGACCCAAAAGGCGATGTTTCATCCATGCCATCCGGCCATCCATGTGAGGTGGTTCCAATGTCTCGATGGCAGTGCTGCGCAGCTTGGGGACTCAAGGTTAGACATTTGCATTCGTTGGTTGACAGCAACCTCCTTACAAGTAGAGCTCGAGTTCCGAGTGTCACAGGATTTCACATAAATTCACAGGATGTCACAGACAAAGTCAATACATTCTATAGTTGCTGTTTTTACCCGTGGTCGAATTGATGCTTTCACCTGTGGCCCGCTGGGTTGGTCGTTACATGCATTACAAGGCTTACAAGGTATCAAATTTGACTAAATTAATTGCTCAAAATGTCCTTCCAACCTTGTATGGGTGTGTATCTTAATAGGGAGACCCCCTTTCTTGCCTGGGAGTTCAACTGATCTCTCTTTCGTTGGATCCCGCGAACCCCGAACCATTTCAACGCCTAGTTCTCTTCAGCCACACACCCATACCCATACCATACCTGTGAATTCCCATACCTTCTGTGGTCCGCAACCACAAACATGAATCCGTAAACCGGTCATCCCGAGTATATCCGAGTCATCCCTGTTGCTAGCTTTGGAACATGGGGCCCCCATCACAGCTGTTATATACCAGCACCCGACTTCACAGGTCACCGACCGACCACCTGCGAGCTTTGAAGTCAATGAGAAGACCTGTTGGAAGGTGCGAGGCGTTTGTGCTGACGCCTTTCGTGATCACGGTACATCTGTTGTAGGGGTGTGCAGATGGAGGCAGTCAAACACATGGAAACATCACAATGTGAGGTGGATTTCCATTATAGTAATACCTTTCCTACCTAGACCAACCCACTCATCAACCACAACCGCAGGACATTGGGAAAATATCTGGTAATTGGTAAACACGCCTGTAACTCAGCCAGACCATGTATCATTGCATAAACCTCCATGATCGATGAAGCGCTCAACAATTCCCAAATCATCCACGTGCTGTGCTTGCTGCGAGCAGCCCAAGATGTTCGATGATGTGAGCGATTCCGCGCTCCTCTTCTTCCTCCACAAGGGATCCAAATCCAACGGCCAGGAAGAGCTCCGCTCGAGCTTTGGGCTCCTTGTTCCTCAAGAAATGGCGAGGCTCGGCGGCTGTCCCACGCATTCCCACGCCACCCCATGGCGTCCATGACACAAGTCAGGTCCAGCACCACGGAGTTGGGTCCTGGATTCTTCATGTCGTTTCATGTTTTTTCCGGCTTCCGAAAAAAATCCAACACGGACCTTTAGTTTTGCTTTCCATCTCAGACCCCTGTCTTGCTGACCGTCTGACCCTGTTCTTGACAGAACCAGCTGCTTGAGAACATAGTACGTGAGCCCATTCCGCAACACTCCTCGACCGGACCGTCCGCACCGTCCACGCCGCGGCTGCCACAAGCCGCGGTGCGGCGCGACCGGGCACCGAACCGATCGTCCAAGCAGCGTCGGCAGAAGTGTCGGATGTAGGGACGGGATGTTTTCTTCAAAGCCAGACGTGTTTCCATGGGACTACCAGGTTACCATATTTTGAGTGTACCTTGGGGGGGTCTGACATATGTTCATATTCCAGTCCTAAACAGCTCTTCACCAACGCACGATGCACGAAGCTTGAAGCTTCGACCCTGGAGATGATCCAGCTGCGGAACCGCCTACCCTCCAATTCGCCTAATGAGCGGCCTAGAAAGAATTTGTGGGGTCATGTTGTATGCCCATGCCCATCCAAGTCTTCGACCAGGACACCATGGGCTTCCACCGGATGTCATTCCCCAGAGCTTGTCTCTTTTGACATCTTTTGACCACCTTTGACCCAAAGAGTTCCAATGTGGGTCCTAAATGTCGCAAGGAACTTGGTCATGGCTCTCAAACTCATCCTTTCAGCTTGGAACCCTCACGCCAGATTGGATCTCTCCCTGAAAACATCTTCTCAAGAAGCCCTTGAGCATCTTGGAAACCAGACCTGCGCTTAGTTAATCAAGTCTTCTCGCTTAAAGACCAAGTGCTCTTCTCCAGAAACCGTTCAACCCCTCGTTCCGCGTCCTGTCGCCGTCTTGGGAGGCAGCCGTGGAATCTCCTCGGCATCCTCTAGCCCATGGCGAGGCCCCTCGATCAGCGACCGGAGATTCGTGAAGGAGGCCAGCAGATCCTCCTGGTCAGTCGGTCTGGCATGCAGTTTCTTTCATTGGATGGATCAGTCCTGTCGACGTCGACGTCGGCTTCCTGCTGGCTCGATGGATTTGACTTTTTAGAATGGAGGTGGATGTCAAACAGACTCTTGATGGGGTTGCAACCCCCCAAGCCTGAACAGATTTTACAATCCAAATGTAGGGGAGACGTGTATTGATCAGTCTACATTAGTGTACCATAGACCAGACTTAGTTGTACAGGACCGGGGGTATCCCCTCTATGGCCCCCTATAAGAATCCCCAACCGAGGCCGTAGGTCAGGCCATCTAGTTTCGTCACAGAATGGGCGGTGAAGCCAGATTGGCTCATCTGTGTACGTATACTGTGAGAAAGCCTTATGGGAAAAGGCCACCACGAGTTGTGTCAAGGCAAACTGTTTTGATTCTGAGTGTACGGTCTACAGTTGCGTGATTTGGGGGTGACCGCAAGATACAACCCCCTAGTGGATCCTGGCATACTTCCTCAGAATGTACGGCTGCACCCTCCAAGTGTCGAACATAGGGAAAGATGTACCAATGATATATATATATACACACATATATACACATCCCAGACACTCCATGAGGACTACCATCTTTGCCGATCAGGCTAGGGGTGGTTGACTTGGGGTCAATGTAGTTCAAGATCATCCAGGTCTTCCACTTCTTCCTCACATGGTTTCGTGGAGTTGGGCACCACCCCCTTGTTGACGTCCGAGGATCATCGTCTTCCGTCCCACAGGCCCCCCGGAACCGGGACGCTACGATAGGCTCGGGGTTGGGGGCTGGATGACCTTAGGACTAGGAACGCGGACGCAACAAGGAACCAGGTCATCCAGCCCCTAACCAGGACCATCCTGTCCTAGTTCCTTAGGAGTATCAAAAGGAATTCAGTTTGGAACATGTACATCACTCTAAAGCAAGATACCAGGAGCATCCTGTCTGACTGGGTGTTCAATAGACTATACACTGTTGATGGACCTCCAAACAGGACACCCAAACAGGATGACCCAGGAAAAAGATGATATAATGTGGATGAATATACCGCAAGCCAATGAGTCATATAAACCATATAAACCAATGGGTCATTGTCTGCAAGCCATTGGTATAATATACATGCATATAACATCATATAACCGCAGGCCAATGTCCTCAGCTTCGGGTCGTTCAGCCTCCATGTTGGACGGACGCTGATTCAAAACGACCGATTCAACAATGCACGAGAGTTCCAGCAGAAGAGTTTCTTTCATGTTGAGCAGCCGATTTGTTTGTTCCATGATTATGTACTATATTTGAGTTGTTTTGAGTTTCTATCCCAGATTTGTACCATCATGTACCATCTTGCGGGTCTTGGGTCTCGAAAAAGCTCTCTTGCCCCTGCTTCCTTGGTCTTCCTGACAGAGTGTTCGATGTGCTTCTCCGTTCGACGATCGGGTCGGTACAGTCCGAGAAAGACCCGTCAGTCCTTTGGTCATCTGCTTTCAGACTTCTGCAGTGTTCATGGTTCATGTTTTATACATGTTCATGCCATTTCATGCCAAGGGCTCAGCTACGCTATGCTTGATCCACATCGATCAAAAGGCCCAATCCCAATTCCGTTGAACGGGTTCTCTCACGGCCCCTCGGCCGTGGTGCTGCCGCCCTTTTTTTTTTCTCAGACCACGTTGGAAAGAGTAGCTGGCACTTGTCAGCACAGCATGATCACAGGACACAGCAGGAAGAGAATGGCCTTGGTGGCTCGCTCCTTTTTGGGGGGGGCGACTTACTTTTGACCCTTGACCACTGCAGTGCCATCAACCATCCAACGTCTTCCTTACTTAGGAATGCAACCATTAGATTCTTAACATTATGATTGAAAAAAGACTTTCGGAACAGACAAACCGGGTCAACCTTCAATCTTCCGAAGACTAGGCCAAGGTTTTAAGATGGTTTAAGTATAGTCTCACTTCAAGCACTCCTCCAGGAAAATAACAAACGCGGAGCCCTCTGTGAGATGACTGGCGAAGCCAATTGAATCTGTGGCTCTATCGCAGAACACCTGCCCGCCTCTAGAACCACAAACCCATTCACACCTTGTGTCCAGATGACTCTAAGGTGTTTACACTGCAACACGCAAGTCTTTCCTATAAATATAAATAATAGCGATGGCCTCCAACCTACAAGCGATGGCCTCAACCCTAGAAGCGATGGCCTCCAACCTGATAGCGATGGCCTC